GCCCGGTTCTCCTGGGTCTGAGGTCGCTCAGGAGGGCCGGGGACTCTCTCAGCACCTTGCTCACTACCAACACCGTGTCCTCTTTATTACCTTTTTTAAAAATTTATTTTAAAAATTTTTAGAGAGGGAGAGGGAGAGATAGAGAGAAACATTGATGAGAGAGAACACCAATTGGCCGCCTCCTGCACGCCCCCCACTGGGAATTGGGCCCACAACCTGGGCACGTGCCCTGACTGGGAATTGAACCGGTGACCTCTTGGTGCCTGGGTCGACGCTCAACCACTGAGCCACACCAGCTGGGCTCCTCTTTATTACCATTTTTTTTTTTTAATCCTCACCCAAGGATATTTTTCCACTAATTTTTAAATGGAGTGGAAGGGGAGGAGTGAGGGGGGCTAGAGAGGAACATCGATGTGAGAGAAACACATGCATGGATTGCCTCCCGCATGACCTTGACCAGGGCCGGGGATGAACCTGCAAGCCAAGCACGTGCCCTTGACCGGGAATCGAACTCATGAGTCTTTGCGGGCCGACGCGCTAACCACTGAGCAACTGGCCAGGTCCCCTTATCGCTTGTGTCATCCCCGGTCCTCCTCTTTGGAGGAGCGCAGAGCGTCAGCACGTGTGTTTCCCACCCTGCAGTCCCTGACGCGAGGGAACCGGGACTGACACGTAGCCGCTGTGTGGTCACGGCATCCGTCTCTCCGTGGCGATGTCCTCTGACACCTAGCCGCTGTGTGGTCACGGCATCCGTCTCTCCCTGGCGATGTCCTCTGACACCCGGGCTTGGTCTGCTCGCCTTCCTTGTCATAGCTTCCTCTCTGTCCTGTGACTCGTCGGTTCTCTCGGCTTCAGCCCCGTCCTTGGGGTCAGACCCGACCCTCGTTCCCTGGCCTCTGGGGGACACATGCCTTTAGGCTGTTCTCAGGAGTGGCCGGGGTGTGGGTTTTACATCTGGGAACCTCCGGTGGGGAGTAAGACCTCACCTTCTTTCCCCGCAGAACTCTGGCAGAATAATGAGCCCCCCCAAGCATCCACGTCCAGATCCCCCCAACCTGTGAACACGTTCGTTACACAGCAAAAGGGAATTAAGGTGTGGGTGCCGTTAAGGCTGCTGAACAGCTGACCTGGGCGTCGGGAGGGGACCCTGGGCTCTCCAGGTGGCCCAGTGCTTTGCAAGGGGCCCGGTGGGGGGGGGGCTGGAGCACAGGGGAGCCAGGGCACTGGGAGGGAAGGGGCCCGGGGTGGGGGGCGCTGGAGCACAGGAGCCAGGGCACTGGGAGGGAAGGGGCCCGGGGGGGGGGGCTGGAGCACAGGAGCCAGGGCAATGGGAGGGAAGGGGCCCGGGGGGGGGGGGGGGGCTGGAGCACAGGAGCCAGGGCACTGGGAGGGAAGGGCCCGGGGGGGGGGAGGGGGGGCTGGAGCACAGGAGCCAGGGCACTGGGAGGGAAGGGCCCGGGGGGGGGAGGGGGGGCTGGAGCACAGGAGCCAGGGCACTGGGAGGGAAGGGGCGGGGGGGGGGGGGGGCTGGAGCACAGGAGCCAGGGCACTGGGAGGGAAGGGCCCGGGCGGGGGAGAGGCTGGAGCACAGGAGCCAGGGCACTGGGAGGCTCGGCGCGCTGGTTCTGCACGGAGGAGGGGCTGGCACAGGGAAAAGTGCCCTGGGAGCTGGACAAGAAAGGGGACAGATGTGCCCCAGAGCCTCCAGGGTGGATCACAGTCCTGCCGACACTCGGTTTCAGCCCGGCGACATCCGGGTTGGACTTCTGAGCTCCAGAACTGGGAGATCACAAACTGGTGTTGCTTTAAGCCACTAAATGTGTGCAGTGTGTTGTGGCAGCCGCAGGAGGGTGCCCCCAGCCTGCAGAGAGCCACGAGCCAGCCCCGCTCGGCCGGCTCCTGGGCCCGTGGGAGCAGCTGAGTCCTTGCGCGTGCGTGAGGCCTGCAACGGCCAGGAGTCCGGCGCCCCTCCTCTCCGGGGCGGAGAGCGTCCACGTGTTCTCAGAGGGACACTGCTTCCTTCTGGGGCTGAGACTCGCTCCCACCCTGCCCAGCTGGGCAGAGATGGCTGGGTCCCTTGTTACCATCCAGGCTCCCCCTGCGTCCCACCCCGTGAACAGCAAGGACGCTTTGGGTTTCCAGAGGCTTCTCTGATGTCCGCCCAGGGCTTGGTCTCCTCTTCCAGAGCCCCACCCCCTGCTTTTGGCCACGTCAGTGGTGGGTGACAGGGAGGGGCTCTTGGCCCTCACGGTGACAGAGCTGATGGCGTCTTGACTCCACACACTGTCCACCGGCTCCTGGCTGGTCCCTGATGCAGAGCAGAGGGTCCGGTCTGCTTCTAGGATGGGGACCATTGCTCGTGTACAGGTGGTCGTGGCAGGACACTGAGCGGCTGGCCCCCACACTGAGACCCTGACCCCCCAGCATGCTCTGGCCTCTTTGTACCAATGCCCAGACCCTGCCTGCCCTCCGGCCCTCTCAGCACCTCATGCCGTCCTGCTGGGGCACAGTCTCGGGGTTGGGATTCACCCCAATACCCAACACAAGTGCTGGACAGCAGGAGCCCTGGCCGGGCTGTCTGAGAGCTGTGGCCACCACACTGTCCTCCCCAGCTCCGTGTACAGGGGTGTGCCACCAACCCCGGGGGTCCTGAGCCGTCCCCAGGACTCCGGCACATTTCCACCATGCTCCCACTGCGTTCCACCCCAAGAGGGGGAGAGCGAGGACCAGGGGTGTGACCTCTCCACAGCCTCCAGCCTCTCCCTCCACATCCGGTCACTTCCTCCTTCTGTCCTGAGGGCGGTTTCCTTGCGTCAAATCCATCTGCACTCAGAGGACACTGACCCCTTGACACTCGCCTGCTTCCGTCTCAGCCTGGTCCCCCGTCTCCTGCTCCGCGGTCTCACGCCCCGGCCAGCACACCAGGCGGACCTGCTGCGAGTCCTCTGTTTGTGACAGTGAGTCACATCCGAGGCGTCTTCTACTGCAGGAGGTGACTCTCACTTGTAGCTCCTGATGCCCCCCACCCCCGTGCAGTGACATCTGGCCGACCGGGGTTGACCGTGTGTGTGGCTCGGGCCCCACCACCTCCCCGTCCAGATCTGAAGCTCCGGGTCGGACTGATGGGCCCTGTGCTGCAGGCACCGCTCAGGGTTACCCTCTGGACCCTCAGAGGCCTCCTCTTCCCTCCCCCCCGTTCTAAAGAAGGGACATTATGCTCGAAAGAGTCTGAGCGGAATATAATTATCCTTTCCCCCCAAATTCCACACCCAAAATATATCCGTCTCCAGCCACCCTCCCGCCAGGACTCTTCTGGGCTCCTATTTAAGGGGACCTCACATGCTGGGTGCAGGTCGCCCCCACATGCCCTCGTCTTCCTGTGATGGGCCCCAGGGTACAGCTCTGCCCGGGTGGAGAAGGAGGGGCCCTCACTGAGACACCGGGCACGGCCCGTCCGGCGGAGGGGCGGCCTCTGGGTTTCCGGCCGATGCAGACACAGCAAGAGAGGAAACGGAGACCAAACCCTTTGCCCTGGCTCTGGGTGCCTTGTGCTCCTCCGTCTGGGACTAAGCCTTGACCTTGTCCGTGCAGCTTTGTCTAGACTCTCGCAGTGGGTGACAAAATCCTCCTCGATTCCTGCAACCGCTTGGCCTGTGTGTGTGCGGGGGTGGGGGTGGGGGTTCAAAGCTGAGACAGGAGCCTATTCTGGGGTCTCACTTGGTATTGTCATAGTAGTTGGGAGGACAGCGAGGTGCCACTTTGACCTGGAGCTGGTCACCCAGACTCCTCGGACGCGCCCGCTGCCCACAGCCCCACCGCGCTCTGGGCCCTGTCCCAACAGCAGGTGCGGCCTTCTCAGAAGACAGTGGCACCTGCGTCTGTCTGATCCTGTCGCTGAGGACGGATCGATCTGATCTCGTCTGAAACCACAATGTCTCGTCTGGCAGGCGTTCTCCGCGAGAACAATCGATGCGCTTCCTGTCTGGGCACATTCTCCAGGCGGTTCCCTGGGGCGGGCTCACGGGGAGCTGTCACTGAGGACCTGACAGGCCAGGGCTCCTGAGCTGGACGACCTCCAAGCAGAGCCACCCCAGCCATGCTCTGCGGGGACAAGGGGGGGCAGCTCAACTTGCTCCCCTGCTGGGAGGGACCCAAACCGCTGTGCAGGAAATGCCATCTGGCTTTGCCCTCCGGACTCTGTGACCGCCGTCGGGAGGGTGCAGGGTCCCACAGCTTCCTCAACAGTCTGCCAACCTGATGTCCACCGAGTTGGCGGTGTCCTCAGCTCGGGCCCTGGACAGAATGGGTGTGACTGGTCAGAGCCTCTCGGAACCGGCATCGGCCCCCCCACCCCACTCCCACCCCGGTCTAATGAGCCTTTGCTCTGCTCTCTGTGACTTCCGCTCTGTCCAGCTCGTCCCCGCTTGCGTTCTTCTCCTCCCTGACCTTCTGTTAAACAACTACACTGGGGACAAACTGCATCCAGGGGCCACCCGGCCTAACCAGGACCACCGGCCGATCCCAGCTGGGCTCCCCAGAACCCCCAGCCCACCCCTGAGGCAGATGAGACACCCCATGCTCATGACAACCCAGCTGAACAGGGAACCTGGGCTCAGCCTCGGCTCTGAGCTCTGCCTCGGAGCTCGAGAGAGAACCGGGCCCAGCCCTCGACCGTCCTCCTCCTGTTGCCCGGAGCTACGCGAGGCTGTGCGGGTAGCGCGGGGACCGGCCCAGCCTGATTCTGAACGTTTATGGTCCCTGGGCCTCTTCGCAATGAGTGAAAGTCGTGTGCGTGCGTCCTGGGAAAACATACAATCGTCACAGAAATGTTTAAGTGCGAGTCCATTTCTATAAAGAGAAAGTGCTTCCATCTCAACCTCCCAAATTGCACGCCTGAGCCCAGCGAGCGGGTGTGTGAGAGGGTTCGGGGTGTGCGCTCCCACATTTAAAGCTGCAGAAACGAGATGCCCAGCGTGTTCCTGGTTTCTGCGTTTCCCTAGGGGCCTGAAGGGCAAGATGAAGAAGGAGAGCTCCCAGAGGGAGCTGGTCTGCGACGCGGCCCACCTGAACCCCACCCACTGCGCCCACTGCCTGCAGCCCTACCGGCTCTGGGCAGCCCCCAAGCGGCAGTGCCTGGACTGCAGCCTCTTCATCTGCCAAGGCTGCAGCCACGTCCACCCCGAGGAGGAGGGCTGGCTCTGCCTCCCCTGCCACCTGGCCAGGTGAGCCAGGGCCTGGAGGGCGGGGCGCCCTGCTGCCTTGGGGCTGGCCCGTCCCTGCGGCGGGGCTGGCTGAGGAAGGGCGGCCCGTGTGCCTGGTGCCGGGCGCACCTGTGCGCTGCCCTGGCAGTGCCGCGGCCTGAGCCCCGTCTCTCTGCAGAGTGGTGAGGATGGGCTCCCTGGAGTGGTACTACGGGCACGTGAGAGCCCGCTTCAAGCGCTTCGGGAGTGCCAAAGTGATCCGGTCCCTCTTCGGGCGGCTGCCCGGCCGAGGTGAGATGCGGGCGGCGCGGAGGGTGGGGCTCGGGGGGCGCCTTTTGTTCCCAGGCGTGTCTTCCTGTTTCAGGACCAAGCAGGTTCCTTTGTGGGGGGCTGAGAGCGCCGCCTGTCTGCCAGTCCCCGTGGCTGCCGCAGTCACGAGGTGCAGACTCCCCTCCACTCTCAGAAATGGCGTTTGTCCGGAGCTCTTAGCAAGGTTCTCACACTCGGTGGCTAATGGAATAACCAGGACCAGGTTCACGCCCCGTGTGCCCAGGTCCTTCCTCCCTAGGCAGCAGAGTGGGCGGGGGGGGGTGACACGTTGATAAACCATCCAGACCAGGACATTTTAAAGAGTAAATGTGGCCTTGTGACCACCACACTGAGGCAGAGACATGACCAGGAGTGCCGGCGACACGGGGAGCGACCCTCATCCTATTCCTGGGGCTCTTTCCCCTCTCCCCCAGGCTGCTTCGTGGAGGCTGACACCTTTGTCTTGGGCTGGAGCCCGTGGAATCCTGCCTCCTGGGCCCGCTCAGCCAGCTCCGGCGAGGGGCTCCCTGCAGCAGAGGGGCTGGGGGTGGGGGTGGGGACTCAGGTAGCACGGGAACAGCCACACTACCCGGCATCTGAAATAACCCAACATGGGCTGCTCAAGGCAGGAACCCACAGGCCATATCAGAGCCCCGAGGACCTGGCCTCGCCCTGGGAGGGCTCATTGCCGGGACCTGGGTGATGTTAAACATCACAGGGTCCAGAGCTCAGGCAGGCAACTCTACAGGGAACCTTCTGAACTGTCACCACTGAGAGCCAGCAGGTGGCGCTGTGGGACAGCGGGAACTCCGCTCCCAGCCGCAGGCTCCAAGCCCCAGGAAGGCATGTCTCAGGTCCACAGAGTGCCATCCCCCCGGGTTCTGCTGGGTTCTCCCTGCAGGTGCCCATGAACACAGTCCACTGAGAAAGGGCGCAGCGGGGAGCACAGAGGCTGGGGAAGGGGTGCAGCTAAAAAAGCATCAAACACACAAACGATGGCCGTCCCAGCCAGGACCTGACAGATACCACGTGTAGCTGGTGGGGGCACGCAGGGTCTGCAGAGCAGCCTTCAGAGGGGTGGGTGCACTTTTCCATAGGACGGAGACAGTGTGGGTGGCCGCGGGTGGGGAGGAGCCCCCTCCCTCCAGTCCTTGAGCTCCCGGCTCCCCGAAGGGTGTCTTGCTTCTCATCACCTTTTCTGTGGTTGTAGGTTTGTCTGACAGAGCGCATAGCTCACCCAGCATCCATAGTAAGTCCTTTTTGCTCAAATGCTTGTATCTTCATTTCCACCCCTTCCAAGAACTCTGTGTTCTGTGTCAGGAAGGAACAAGGGGACTCCTTTGAGTTTTTTAACCATGACTCACTATCAAGTTGGGCTGATATTGCTCAAGCCCTTGTCCTGGGTATAGAGGGAGATGGAAGGTAAGGGCTGATCACGGAAGGGTCATGGAGAGTTCCTATCCACTCAGGGGGCAGGGACACCACCCTGACCGGCCACACACAGCCCCGGCCCCTGGAAGCCCATGTCCACATCCCCCCGATGCAGATAGAGTCATGTCTCAATGCCCTCTGTCTGGCTGTTCAATGTGTCTCCTCAACACTGTCACTGTCCAGGAGGGGTACCGGCTGCCTGGTGCTCATGTCTGGGGGCAGAGGAAGGAGAGCAGAGCACCCCAGGCTGGACCTCACCTCCCTCTAGGCTGAGCCTGAGGCTGGGCCTGCTGACACGCAGGTGAAATGAGGCTGTGGGAGAAGCAGGTTGTTTGGGAAATAAGACTGAGTTCTAGGCCCCCATCGCCCCCACCATGCCAACGTCTCAGTGTCTACAAAGGGGTCGGTGACTGCAGAGTGAATCCCTGCAGGTGTGACCACTGATAAGTTGGTGCAGAGCACTAGGTTTCTGCTGTGGATAGGACCAGTTTCACCTGATGCTCGAATAGGTCTGTGTAAGGCCAGCATAGGGCCTCACCTGGATGTTTTGCGATGAATGTTGAGTGGATGGATGATGAATGAAATGAACTGATGGATGGATGGATGGTGGATGGATGGTGGATGGTGGATGGTGGATAGATGGATGGTGGATAGATGGATGGGTGGATGGATGGATGGTGGATGGATGGATGGTGGATGGATGGATGGTGGATGGATGGATAAATGGATGGGTGGATGGTGGATGGATGGTAAATGGATGGATGGATAGATGGATGGATGGATGGATGGACAGATGGTGAATGGAGAATGGATGGATGGATCGATGGATGGATGGATGGATGGATGGATGGATGGTGGATGGATGGATGGTGGATGGATGGAGAATGGATGGATGGTGGATGGATGGATGGATGGATGGATGGTGGATGAATGGTGGATAGATGGATAAATGGATGGGTGGATGGTGGATGGATGGATAGATGGATGGATGGATGGACAGATGGTGAATGGATGGAGAATGGATGGATGGTGGATGGATGGTGGATAGATGGATAAATGGATGGGTGGATGGTGGATGGATGGTAAATGGATGGATGGATAGATGGATGGATGGATGGATGGATAGATGGTGGATAGATGGATGGGTGGATGGATGGGTGAATGGTGGATGGATTGTGCATGGATGGTGGATGGATAGATAGATAGATAGATAGATAGATAGATAGATAGATAGATGAATGGTGGATAGATGGATGGATGGATGGATGGTGGATGGATGGATGGTGGATAGATGGATGGGTGGATGGATGGGTGGATGGTGGATGGATTGTGCATGGATGGTGGATGGATAGATAGATAGATAGATAGATAGATAGATAGATAGATAGATAGATAGATGAATGGTGGATAGATGGATGGATGGATGGTGGATGGATGGATGGTGGATAGATGGATGGGTGGATGGTGGATTGATGGGTAATGGATGGGTGGGTGGGAGGTTGAGAAAATGAAAGGATAGATGGTGGGTGGGTGGGTGGAGAAAGGGCTCACTCCAGTCTGTCTCCCTGGATGGAGTCATGCAGGTGTCTGCTGCAGGTGGGCCTGAGCCAAGCCCTGGAGACAGAAGCAGTGACAGTGAGCAGACAGATACGGACGGAGAGCTGGACATGGTGGCCCAGGCTCGTCCCCTTGGCAGCAAAGTAAGTGTTCCCCGGCCACCCCGCCCCCCACTCCTCAGCTGCAGCCTTGTGTTCTGACTTCCTGACACTCTCAGTGCCTGTGTGAGCACTAAGACTCCGCCCCCTTTGCCACGCCGGCCAACCTCTGAGGTCACTAGGCCCCAAATAGGAGAGGGCTCTCAGCATATGGTCACCGTGAGGAACCCCAAGCAGGCTGTGGGGTGGACAGAGGCTGCAGAGAAAGCTGCAGACCCCAGACCGGCCCGGCCCATCCGGCCACAGCCTCTGGGTCACAGTCAGGAGGGCAGGCAGGGCCTAGAGGCACACTGGTGACCTCCTAAGTCAGACAGTTCCAGAGAGCACACTGGGGACCCCTAAGTCAGACAGTTCCAGAGGGTACACTGGGGACCCCTAAGGCAGACAGTTCCAGAGGGCACACTGGGGACTCCTAAGGCAGACGGGCCCAGAGGGCACACTGGGGACCCCTAAGGCAGACGGGCCCAGAGGGCACACTGGGGACCCCTAAGATGGCCTTTGCATCTTTCAGGGAGGCAGGCGCCTTGGGGTCTCCTCTGTGAGCTTTTTTGTTTTTTCCAGGGCCAACCATGAGCCTTGTTTTTATTGGTGTTTGTTTCTGTTTTCACTGATTTTTAAACTTATTTTTGGTGACAAAGACAAGCAAAGTAAAGGATTTCTGGGCAGGAGGAAGGAAGGGAGCAGGTTGGAGGGGGGGAGGGTGACAATGAGTGTGGACCGAGCCACGGGGAGAGCGGAGACTCAAGGCCGGCAGGTCCGCCCAGCTGCTCCCCGGGGATCTGTGCGTCTGTTACGACAAAGTGCCACTCAGGACGCTGCCGGGACGCCCCCCAGTGTGGGCCTGAAGGATGGGAGCCACCGTGGGCTTGGAGCTGACCTCTGCTCTGGCATCTAAAATGCAGGAGCCCCCCCCCCGCTTCCCCAGCTGGTGCCCCACTTTGCCTAAAGCCCCAAGGGCAAGGACGGGCAGCACCCAGAAGCCTGCCTGCCCCCCAAGGCTGCAGCGACCAGGCCTGTGTCCTTGGCACCTGTGAGCAGCCAGGGGCCCACCAGCGGCTTCTGCTCACTACGTAAGGGCGCTGGGCGTGCAGACCCTGCGGGGTGCGGTGGGCAGACCTCTGAGCTGGAGCTCATCTCGTCTGTCCAGCACCCACCCCGCCGCCCCGGGGGCGAGGGGCGTCTGGTCCTCCCTGTCCCCCAACCCCGATTCTCTTCTTGCCCAGCCTGTGCCCGCCAAGAAGAAGCGCCTCCTGCCCATCCACAGCTTGGACTTCGAGGCCGACTCCGATGGCTCCACGGGGTCTTACGGTCACCCCCTGCCCCTGGCCTCAGGCCCAGGGTCCCCGGGCAGCGTGCAGGTCAGTGGGCTCGGTGTCTGCCCCACCCTTCCGGGAGAACCTGAGCCACGGGCTGGGGACAGGGTCCAGAAACTGCACCTTCTCCGAGGACTAGAGCCTCCAGAGAGGCCGAGCGGGCGGCATGGACGTGTGGGGTGCAGGGCACTTGAGTTAGGGGCCCGGGTGTTCAGGGTGGGTGCTTGTCCTAGAAATAAGGCAGAACCCTGTGACTCGGGAGGGCAGGCCCGGGGGTCAGACTGGCCGGCGTGTCTGGACCTCCGCTGCAGCAGGGCGCGCCTGTTGGCCAGTGCAGGACAGTCCCCTGGTGGACGAGGCCGCCGCTGATGACCACACCGGCACTGTGGCATCCGCCAGGGCTGTCCAGGAGCCAGACATGTGGTCACTCTGCTCCTCCGCTTCGTGACCTGGGTCTGGGGACCCTCCGGGAGGCTCCATCCTCAGTCATCAGGAAAGGGGGTGATCCCCACCTCAGATTACCTTCAGGACTAGCGGCTGTGCCCGTCACCCACAGGGCACAGGCGGCAAAGGGCAGCTTGGCCACAAGCCCCAGAGTGACACCCAACTTCACAGGAGCCCTGAACTCCGGGGGTCCCCTGGGCTCAGGTGGGATCTGGCCAGAGCTGGGGCAGGCTGGGTCTGCCCAGGCCCTTCTGCAGACTCCCAAGGATGTGCCAACAGGCCAGGAGCCAGCGCCCAAGAGGCCTCTGGGCCACGGTTTCGGGGTGTTCAGTGTCCCTTCCCATGGCCTCCAGGGCCGGGGGCAGCTTCCTTCCTGCCCCCAACCCTGGATCCGCTGAGCTGAGAAGGGGCAGGGGCAGGTGGCTTCCCGAAGTCCTCAGCACCTCCTCTCCTTGGGGACGATGGCCCCATGGAACAACCCTCCTCAGGCCCGCGGAAGGGTGGAGGGGCACCCCACCCCACCCACTCTTGCCTCTCTGGCTTTTAGGGATTAGTGAAATGTATACAGAACAGTATGCCCCTCCCCCCAAAACCGTCCCCCTACTTCCTCGGGGCTTTGGTCTCCGGGGGTTAAGCCCAGCGCTGTCGGAAGTTTCTATCTCCTTGTGTGACGTGTGGTCCAGGGTTTGGGACCCAACCTTCTTCCTGGAGATGGGGTGCAGAATAGGCAATAAAAGCTCCTTTCTGAAACCGAAGGGCACTGCGTTGTCAGGCGGGGGGCAGGTGTCCGATGCTGTCAGCCAGGTGACACCTGGAACCCTCAGAATGTGGACGAGAGACCCAATGCCGAGGAGCTGTCCCCGAGTCTGAACCGCCTGGGCTGACGGCCCCTGTCTCAGGCCCTCACAGGGGAGCCCAGCGTGATGGAGGCGACCCCCCAGGAGGCGGTGGCCCTGCAGGAAGCGGAAGCCGGGGCCTCTGGGTGGCCCCCCCGTCGGGAAGAGCAGACAGACAGCCTCTTCCCTGCCGGACAGGACGCCCTCGCTGAGCTCTGCCTGCCGGGAGAGTCCTGCACAGCTGCCTCGGGGCTCGCTGCCGCTCCTGGTAGGTGCCCTTGGCCGCGGCCTCTCATCTGGGCCCTGCGAACCCCGGCCACACCGTGTGGGCAGACACACTGGCTGAGGCGCAGCAGCCCCTTCCTCCCACGTGACTGGTGGTGGGCAGTCCTGCCGAGCCAGGGCCACCTGCTCCCAGGGCTGCGAGCGCCCTCGCGATGCTCAGCGACCAGCGCTGGCCGCCCGGCCAGGCCGCCTTCCGAGAGGACGGTGCTGCAGGACGGGAACATGCTGTCGTCCTGACATGACAGGTCGATGGCCACCGGACTGGCCATCCTGACGGGGACAGGGCGTCTCTGAAGCCGAGGACCATGGGCCCCCGGGGACAGATGGGGCCTGGTCCCCAGTGGGCTCCCGGCTGTGCGTCGAGAGGTCTGCAGGTACCGAGGACCCCGACTGGCTCGGGGGCGTTGGTTGTCAGGCAGTGTGCTCCCTAATGAGTCCCCAAGTGCCATCTCTTCTCTCGCCTTTGGGGCGCACTCAGCCGGAGTCAGGCCGGGACATGGGAGCAAATGAGATCACACAGGCAGGCGGCGCAGCCTCCCCCGGGTGCGGCTGCGAAATGTGGTTAAGACACGTCGGTTTGCTTTCCGTCCTCCCTTTTCATTATGTTCCAGGGGCCGTAATCTCATGATCACAGGCCCAGTAGGACCTGGAGGCACCGGGAGGCGAGGCGGGTGTTACCTGCCCTGGTAATGAGTAAATGACTCTACACTGACTGAGCGACTGAGCGACCGAGCGGGCGGACTTGACACCGTCACCCCCACCCCCAGCCCGCGGTCCCTAATCACCCACGCTGTGGGGGCGGGGCCGGTGGGGGTGGGACAAGGAGAAGGGAGCTGGAGAGACTGCGTCATGCTGAGAAATGGCTCTTGGGGACCTGCAGTTCTGACCCAAGCCAGCTCCGCGGACGGCTACCTGCCTCATCGGTTCTGAGGCGCACGCTCACCCCCTCTTCTTCTTTTTTTTAATCCTCACCTGAGGATATTTTTTTTTCCATTTATCTTCAGATAGAGTGGGAGGGAGAGAGAGAGAAACATCGATGTGAAAGAGACACATCGATTGGTTGCCTCCCGCACGACCCCAATCAGGGCCCGGGGACGAACCGCCACCGAGGTACGTGCCCTGGACCGGAATTGAACCCGAGACGCTGTGGTCCGCGGGCCGACGCTCTAACTGCTGAGCCACACCGGCCGGGCAGGCCCATCCTGAAGTGGGAGCGTGTCTCAGTGAGGTGGTCAGGGACAGCGTGCTGGCGGTGTCATCGTGCCATTCCGCTACGCCGCCGCACCCGGGCCTCAGTCTCCCTGCGAAAGGGTCAGCAGTGCCGCATCCATCCCCTCCCCCGGACAGTGAGCTCAGTCCCCCTGCGAGAGGGTCAGCAGTGCCGCATCCATCCCCTCCCCCCGGACAGTGAGCTCAGTCCCCCTGCAGAAGGGTCAGCAGTGCCACATTCACCCCTCCCCCGGGACAGTGAGCTCAGTCCCCCTGCGAAAGGGTCAGCAGTGCCGCATTCACCCCTCCCCCGGGACAGTGAGCTCAGTCCCCCTGCGGAAGGGTCAGCAGTGCCGCATCCATCCCCTCCCCCGGGATAGTGAGCTCAGTCCCCCTGCAGAAGGGTCAGCAGTGCCGCATCCATCCCCTCCCCCGGGACAGTGAGCTCAGTCCCCCTGCGGAAGGGTCAGCAGTGCCGCATCCATCCCCTCCCCCGGGATAGTGAGCTCAGTCCCCCTGCAGAAGGGTCAGCAGTGCCGCATCCATCCCCTCCCCCGGGATAGTGAGCTCAGTCCCCCTGCAGAAGGGTCAGCAGTGCCGCATCCATCCCCTCCCCCGGGACAGTGAGTGAGAGGCTGTGCAGTTACTGATCGCTAGTAACCAAGTAACCCAAACTCACCCACTGGAAACAACACGCATTGCGGATCTGCCTGTGTCCAGGTGTCCAGGTGTCCAGGTGTCCCGGCTCAGCTGTGTCCTCAGCACAGGGCCCCATGCTCAAACCAGGCACTCGGGCCGCCTCCCAAGCTCACAAGTTGTGGCCCAATCGTGCGGCCGCTGCAGGGCACGCGCGGAAGTAGCTGTGCACGCGTGACTTTCTCTCTGAAGCACTGGAGGGTCTGCCCTGGAGGCTCCTCGTCCCCCAGCTCCGGGGTGGCTGTGTGGGTCATGCGTCTCGGTGAGGACGTGGGGATGGTGAGCGTTCCCTGCTGGGGCCCAGGAATACGCATTTCAGGCCACACTGCAGGTGACTCATGCTCCCCAAGTCTGCCCGTCACTGTTCTGGCCCGAAAACAGCCCACGGTGACCGGTGTGGGAAGACTTCCCAGAGGCACCTCCACTCGTGGAAACCGGGGACCCACCTCTGCACACTCCACGCCGTGTAGTGAGATTCCAGGACATCGGCTTGGCCACCGCGGCCTGTGGGGGTGCCAGGCCCCTCTGTTTCCCGAAGATCCTCGTGTGTTTTAGTGGGAGGGTCTCGGCCCCATCACATCAAGACTATAATCATGTCTTCATTTTCTTTGATCTCCCATTTTTTCATTGAAAAAACATGTCCATTGGCTTTCATTCTTTCTCCCCAAATAATCTGACAACTGTCCCTCCACAGGGCCGAGCACTGTGGGGAGCAGGCAGCTCCCGTCCCCGGACCTGGCCGACACAGACACCTCCGATGAGGACAGCGCGCAAGCCTACAGGGTGGCCCCCCACCTCTCCCGTCGGGGAGGCCGGGCCTCGTCCGACAGCCAGGTACCAGGGCAGGGGAGGGCTCCTCCGTAGCTTCTTTGGGTGCAGCCTTTTCACTCTGACACCAGGTCATGTCAGGGAAATCACAGCTTCCCATATTTTAAAGCTGTAACATCACACAAGCCGACTTCACAGAGACGAGCAATGTTACCAAAGTACGTGTTTGTGCGTCAAAGTGAAAGTCACATGTCAAAGGAACCACTTTAAAGCGAGCATTGCAGTCACACTTAGTATGTTCACAGTGGGCACACTCACCACCTGTCCTTCCAAACCATCCCCTCGGGGGCCCTCCAGGCCCTCCCAGGCCCGCCCCGCCCCCGCCCCGCAACCCCCACCTGCCCTTGGTCTCTGCGGATTCACGGATCTCACACAAAGACAACCTTGGGTGCCTGGCTTCCTCCACTGAGCATGTTTTCGAGGTTCACTCACATTGTAGCAAGTCTCAGAATTCCATTCCTTCTGATGAAAATATACATTTTATAACTGTCAAATTTTCTGTCTTTCACAAGAGGAAAGACTTGTTATTTTGTACCTTTAGCAGACTTTATGTGGGTTTTAAGAAAATGTGACTTAGAAAGTTTCAGCCCTGGCCAGTTTGGCTCAGCGGTTAGAGCGTCGGCCTGCGGTCCGGAGAGACCCGGATTCGGTTCCCGCTAAGGGCACATACTTCGGTTGCAGTTTGTCCCCGGCCCTGGTTGGTCATGAGGGTGGCAGCCACTCGATGTGTCCCTTCACGTCGATGTTTCTCTCTCTCTCTCTCTCTCTTCCTCTCTTTCCCTCCCACTCTATCTGTACAAAAGATGGAAAAATGTCCTTGGGTGAGGATTAAAAAAAAAAATTTTTTTTAAAGAAAAAAAAAAAAGAAAATGTGACTTAGGACCACAGTGGGACAGAGACCTTCCCTCGTGGCAGGACCACAGTGGGACAGAGACCTTCCCTCGGGGCAGGACCACAGTGGGACAGAGACCTTCCCTCGGGGCAGGACCACAGTGGGACAGAGACCTTCCCTCGGGGCAGGACCACAGTGGGACAGAGACCTTCCCTCGTGGCAGGACCACAGTGGGACAGAGACCTTCCCTCGGGGCAGGACCACAGTGGGACAGAGACCTTCCCTCGTGGCAGGACCACAGTGGGAAGAGACCTTCCCTGTGGCAGGACCACAGTGGGAAGAGACCTTCCCTCGTGGCAGGACCACAGTGGGACAGAGACCTTCCCTCATGGCAGGACCACAGTGGGACAGAGACCTTCCCTCGGGGCAGGACCACAGTGGGACAGAGACCTTCCCTCGGGGCAGGACCACAGTGGGACAGAGACCTTCCCTCGGGGCAGGACCACAGTGGGACAGAGACCTTCCCTCGGGGCAGGACCACAGTGGGACAGAGACCTTCCCTCGGGGCAGGACCACAGTGGGACAGAGATCTTCCCTGTGGCAGGACCACAGTGGGAAGAGACCTTCCCTCGTGGCAGGACCACAGTGGGAAGAGACCTTCCCTGTGGCAGGACCACAGTGGGACAGAGACCTTCCCTCGGGGCAGGACCACAGTGGGACAGAGACCTTCCCTCGTGGCAGGACCACAGTGGGACAGAGACCTTCCCTCGTGGCAGGACCACGGTGGGACAGAGACCTTCCCTCGGGGCAGGACCACAGTGGGACAGAGACCTTCCCTCGGGGCAGGACCACGGTGGGACAGAGACCTTCCCTCGGGGCAGGACCACGGTGGGACAGAGGAGCTCCCAGCCCCCCAGTCAGAAGACAATGAGATGAAGACTAGAATTAAATTATCCCTTTTCAGTAAGTTTCTAATTGTGCAACTTTAGTAACTACCACTCAGTAAAATACAGATCCCAGCTGACACTAATTGTCCTTCATGCCTCCTTCGATTATTCTCCGTCTCATGCTGGTATCTTAGCTCTGGGGTTCTTCTCCTCATCTATTTCTATCAACTCTGTTTCCTTTGACTAACGTCTCACCTGGAACGAGGCCCGTGCATCTTTACATTGGGAACCGGGCGGCGTCCACCCCCGAATGCAGCCGTGCCAACTCACAGCTGTACACGTTCACACTTGGTCTACGTCCGCGTCGTGCTTGTCCAATGTTACAATTTCGGTTTGTTGCACGCGAGTTGAAAACACTCATTCACACAGAGATTGATATCCATGCGGGTCTAGCACCGCGGGGACCCGGACAGCTGGGCTCACACAGGGCGATGCTACTTTGGGCAGAGGAAGAAGACCCAGCCAGCTTCGGGCCGGGCTCCTGACCGCTGGGAAGCAGGGGTTCCGTGGGGCGTCTGGTGGCACCAGGGGCTCTCCATATCAGACAGAGAGCCAGGGTTGTGTCACATCTGTCCTGTGGGCGCAGTCCTTCCTCACACTGGGCGGGACGCCACCCTGAGCCCCAGCCCGGTGCCTGCTGCCTCTCCAGGGCTCAGTGCCTCGCCCGTTTCTGCCCACCTCCAGCCCCAGGGCAGACTGGGCCTAGTTCTCACCCAGGGACGTTTTTCTTTCTTTGTCCCTCTGGAAGGGACATTTCACAGCGCCACTGTCGGGCCCTGGCGAGGGCGGGCTCTTCCTGCCCAGGCCTGAAAGAGCGTAGCAGCCAGGCGCCCGGAGTTCTGGGGAGACAGCCGTCTGCCGGGCTCTCCCCCCGGGGGTATTGATCGCTGTCTCTTCAGACTCTGAGTGCGACCGGGGTGGGTGGGCTCAGTCACCAGCTGCCGCTCCAGAGCGAAACCCTGGTGGTGACACTTCTCAGCTCACTCTTCTTCTTGGGGCAGATCCGTCTGCTCAGAGCGCCGGCGCTCGGGAGGTCACACTAATTACCCACCGAGCGGCGCGGAAGCGTCTTGCCACCTGAAGGCCATTTCCCGCTTCGGAGAGCAGGTGACTGCGGGAAGATAATGGCAGGAAGGCTGGGGCACAGCGCTCGGAGGAGACCGAGCAGGCATCGATTTTCTCCTGTCCCCGTCTGGGAGCTAATAGCTCTGGTGACTCAACAGGCTGGTGACTCACAGGACAAGGAGCTTGTACGTCCAGTCACTTCACGTGGGCTCCTGGTGTCTCCTGGCCCACGGGTGACCCACGGCTCTGGCCAGATAACGAGTTTTAGTTTGATCCGCCTGGCGTGGTTGATTCGCGCCGTCCTGTCTGTGCTGGTCAGGACAGCGGCTGCCCGGGGACGCTCGGCCCAGCTCCCTTGTCCTGGTGAATTCGTCTTCTCCGTGTCCCCGTGTGCACTCCCAGCTTCTGCTCGGTGTTCCAGAGCCCTCGGCGTGAGGGTCTGAGATGATGATGCCACGGTCACCCACCCAGGTCACAGCCCGGGCGGTGACCTTAGCTTCCAACCCACAGCTTGGGAACTTGGCGCTTCCTGAGTGGCGGGTGCTGGGTTGTGTCCGGCCACTGTTTCTGTCCTCTGCGGTGTCCTCTATATCAGCGGTGGGATGTCTGCTGACCCCCTGCCGACAGGGCCTGAGACCCTTGTTAGAGGAGGTTTGCCAACAAGGCGCAAACGAAGAAAATAGTTAGTGCAGACATAGGCACCCCTGTTCCCTGTAGCGTTGTTGACGGTAGCTGAGCGATGGAAGCCTCCTCGGTGCCCATCAGTGGACGACTAGATACCAAGAGGTGCATTTGCACAATGGAATACTACTCAGCCGTAGAAAAGAACAAAATTTTGTCATTTATAATGGCATGCACAGACGTAGAGGCTGCTATGCTCAGTGAAATACGTCGCATGGAGAGTCCTGGCCGGTGTGGCTCAGTTGGTTGGGCATTGTCCCAGGCACCCAAAGGTCGCCGGTTCGATTCCCAGACAGGGCACATGCCTGGGTTGTGGGCTCGGTCCCCGGTAGGGAACACACAGGAGGCAGCCGATCAATGTTCTGCTCTCACATTGATGTTTCTCTCTCTCCCTCTCCTTTCCTCTCTAAACATCAATAAAAATATTTTTTAAATAAGTTATACAGAGAAAGACAAATACCACATGATTTCACTTAGATGTGAAATCTAAACAAACAGAACAAAGGAGCAAAGCAAAACAGAAACAAACTCAGAGAACAGACAAGTGGTTGCCACAGGGGGGGTGTGAGGGGCTGGGCAGACAAGGGGGAGATGAAGAGGGACAAGCTCCCAGGTATAAAGTAGCTCACGGGATGTACAACATAGGGAGCAGAGTCAGTGACATCCTACTACGTGCGGTGACAGGTGGGGACCAGCCTGATCGCGGCGATGACTTTGCAAGGTATATAAGTGTTACATCACTATGCTGAACACATAAAATGAATATAACATTGTATATAAACTACACTTTAAAATAAATGTATAAATAAATAAAGGGCCCTGGCCGGTTTGGCTCAGCGGTTAGAGCGTCGGCCTGCGGTCTGGAGAGACCTGGGTTCGATTTCCGCTAAGGGCACGTACCTCGGTTGCAGTTTGTCCCCGGCCCTGGTTGGGATCGTGCGGGTGGCAGCCACTGGATGTGTCCCTTTCACATCGATGTTTCTCTCTCTCTCTCTCTTTCTTCCTCTCTCTCCCTCCCACTCTGTCTGAACAAAAAATGGAAAAAAACAATGTCCTCGGGTGAGGATAAAAATAAATGTAGAAATGAATAAAGGGTGGGTCTTAGATGGCCCTGTGCCATGAGGATGCCCAGGATGGGCCCTCCTACAGAGCCGTGCCAGGGGGCTGACCCCAGAGTGGATGGAGACCGAGGCTCCAGCAGGAGCCATTCGCAGAGGTGACCCACTGAGTGCAGACCCACTCCCGTGCTCATTCCAGGGTCCGGGCACCGGGGAGCCCGTGGACGCTGACACGGAGGAGGAGACCCTGAAGAGGAAGCTGGAGGAGATGACCAGCAACATCAGCGACCAGGGTGCCTCGTCCGAGGAGGAAGGGGCTGGGCTAGAGGGGAACACCTGCTTGGAGGACCTCCCCGGGGCGACCCCAGAGGTAAGGTCGCCCCAGCAGTCTCGGCAGGACACAGGCAGACGTGGGGCTAGGGGTCACCAATTTGTAGCTAAGCCAGCAGCCCAGCCCAGGCAGGCAGCCACCTGGAGGTCACCAAGGGCCCTGACCAGGGCTGCACGCTGTGCCCAGCCCCCGGCCACCCAGCTCCGGGCTTGAAGAGAAAAGGGGAGCCTGAGGACGAGGCCCTGTTGGGGACCCTGCAGGCTCTCCTGCCAGCGGTCAGTTGGGTGCTTTCCTTCCCCAGGTGAGCACGTCTGCAGGCCAAACTCACAGAGGGGGAGAGAGCCCCCCGGGCCCTCGGGACCCCGTGCAGGCCACCAGGACCCCAGACGAGGCGCTGTCGGAGCTGGAGGACAGAGTGGCCATGACGGCCTCCGAGGTTCAGCAGGCGGAGAGCGAGGTAGCCCCACAGCCTCGGGGAGCAGGTGGCCCCCCAAGATAGACAGTGGTGGGCTTGAAGGTCTGACCGCAGGGACAGTGTCCCAGCGGCTCTCACAGGAGACCCCATAGTCTCCAGAACAGGAGCCGGGAGGTGGGGGGTCGCTGTGGGAATCGCACCCCAGCACCCCGCACTGGCACTCACCACGCTCCGCCCCACGGGGAGGGGCTTCTCTAGAAGCAGCTGGGACTTTGGGACAGCCCAGGGCTCAGGACCACACTCTGGCCAAGGAGCGTGGGCAGGAGCATGGGCCCAGAGCCTTAGTGTGCAGGTAGGGGTGTCGCTGGTACACAGAGGTCAGAGGACAGAGCCAGGCCTCCCAGGGACAGTCACAGTGACGGGGCTCTGCTCGGCCCTCCCCCGGGGGCCCACAGAGAAGAGAGGGTCTGCCCCTCAGACTTTGGGGGGTCACACCGCTGCCCGTCCCCACTTCCCTGCTCCTCAGCCGTGTCCTCGGTCCCTGGAGCTGTGCACACTGGGAAGCCGGCCTGAGGACTTCTGTTCACGTCTTCCCCTTGCTCGGCGAACAGTGTTCAGAGCCCCAGAAGTGGCAGCGTTGTGTTGGGCATGAAGGACACGGCTGAGCATCTTAGACCCGGGCCCGCCTTCGCAGAGCTTACACTTTCCGTGGGAGGACAGAGACCACAGACCCACGGCCAAGGGGGTCGTCTCAGAGGGGGGAGCGCTGTGCGCACAGGAAGTGGGGTGCTGCTTAGATGAGGCGGGCAGCACACGTGCAAGGGCCCTGGGGTGTCAGACGTGGTGTCTCAGGAACCAACAGTGAAGCCCGGTGATGGGAGCAGGGTGAGGGTGCGAGCAGAGGGCCCCGGGGGCCACAGCAAAGATGTTGGGAATCGTCAAAGGGACCAGAACAGGGTGAGGGCGGGGCTTCTGTCTCCTGGGAGGAGGGGCCCAGGGGGCAGTGAGAGGGGTGGGCAAGGGAAATGTGCCGGGGAGGAGGGGGGGGTGATTGGAAACTGTGCCCATAAAGAACAGCCCTGTCCCTTAGCGCCTCGGTGCCCCCTCCCAGTCACTGTCCCCTCCATCCTTGCTGGGAACCAGCTGTCCTGACACCCTGCAAAAATGTCCTAAGCCCTCTGCTTCTGCCTGGGGGCGGCCCAGCCCCTCCCCAACAACCATGGCACCTGCATGAAATGGGACCCCAGGAAGCACATCTGGGTGTGACCCCAATCTTAAAGGGAGACAGGACAACATGGTGAGTCGGGGCAGCTGCTTTTCCAGGACAGACCCGCGGTGGGACGTCTAAGCGGTGTCCGCCTGCGTCTGCTGTCCCCTAGGTTTCGGACATCGAGGCCAGGATCGCAGCCTTGCGGGCGGCAGGGCTCACGGTGAGGACCTCAGGGAAGCCCCGGAGGAGGTCTAAGCTCCCGGTGAGTGGGCAGCACCCTGGGACCCCTGGCCAGGAGCATGGGCCCCCGAGGCCAGCCATCCATGGACTGTGCCCTGTGGGTGCTCTTTTTCATTTATTACTTGTTTTTCCAACTGGAGAAAGTCTTTTATGGGGGCCTGACCTCCTATGAGGGTTTGAAACATACCACGGGCACCACTTTAAAGGACAAAGAAACAGCTCGTGTTGGTACCTTACTAACTGCCCTGGCGTGGGCGAGGCTGGGGCGGGTGGGCGGGGAGTGTCCCCGCACACCCTCCTCTCCTGCGTCACGGTGGGACGTTCAGACAACACACTGGTGAGGGGACCCGGCCGAGGACAAAGAGGACCCTGGGAGAGTCCCAGACGGGTCGCCAGGGAAAACAGGGCGCCCAGGTAACACCGATTTCACACAAACGACAAGCCACCTGCCCGTGGAACCGTGGCCGTTGTGGTGGCCACGACACTCAGAAACCATTGGCTGTCCTGGGGTCCAGTGTTTTGAACGGCGGAACCGGCCGCCCCAGGCCCGGAGCTCCAAGGGTGTGTCTGGCAGGGCCTTCCCGTGCTCCTGAGCGAGTGTGACAGAGACCGTCTGTCCTGCGTCTCCCTGGCCCCGGGGCTGGAGGTCACCAGGGCAGTCATCGTACAGGCTTCTTCCCATCAGATCCTTCACCCCCGACTCGCTGGGAAATTCAGCCCGAGTCCCGAGGATCCGCCGGCAGGCCCTCCGGATGGGGTCAAGGTGTGTGATTCCCTCCCACCCCCACGGGGTGCACGGTGGACACCCCTCCCCCACAGCATGGCAGGCCCCCGGGCTGGGGGAGGACGGGGCAAGCCCCACAGGCCGGCGGCCTCGGAGACGCACTGAGCCAAGGCAGACATGGGAGGACCCCTCGCAGCCCACGCCACCCGAAGTCAGCAGCTCCCCAAACTAAGCATTGTGTCCGTTCTGGAACTCGGTGCTTAGCTGATTGATAAGGTGCATCTCCATACTGTTAGCAGTCCTGGTAGAGCCCAGGAGCGGGAGGCAGTGCACCCCGTTAATTAGACTCGGGAAGAGTAAGTCCAAAATTAGGTCCCGTATCTAAGGATCACAGTCGCGCGAAGCCCAGGGACGGCTCCTTCCTTCCAGGTGATGGCTGCACCCTACCTTCTGAGGGGGAAGCTCGGTAACTCCCCTGAAAGTCAAGGTAAGAGTCGCCTGCTCCCCCTCCCCACGGGCCAGGGGACCTCTGGGACGTGGACGCGGGGCTCTGAATTCCCACGTACCCCATGGGACACAGCATGATGCCCAGCACCTGCAGGACAGTCGGTGTGCCTGATTTCACCACCACAGCCTGAGGGGACACCCTCCTGAGGGCCAGAGTCCAGGACCCCTCAGGCTGTGTCACCCACAGAAGTAGAGGGAAGAGGGGGGACCCCACCCCCTGGTGCATGCATTTCTGGGCCCTGGGAGGCAGGCTTTACACGCCTGCGCAGGGGGAGGTGGGACTGACCTTTCACTGGCACAGCTGCTACAATGTGACAGTTTGGCCGAAACTGCTTAGAACTGAGGAAACTTCTCGGTGGGGACCGCCAGTTGTCACTACTTGGTTTCTCGGGCGGCGAAGGCACCCGTTTGGGTGAGTGTGTGATGGATACGCACCCCGTGTCTCCCCCAAAGGCACAGACGACGAGTCCTTCGATCGGAAGTCACTGTACCGAGGGTCCCTGACACAGAGAAACCCCAACGGCAGGGCGGGGAACGCCCACCCCAGCTTTGCGGTAAGTCCATCCCGGCCCCCGGGGCATCTTCGGAACTCTGGGGCCCATCAGACTGCTCACTGATATCAAGTTGTTGGAATAAAGAAAATTGGGGTAAAGTAACATGTACAGTAAAATTGGCGAACTATTTAAACAAAAATAGGGCACATGTCTGAAAGTTACCAGATAGTCAGTGGTGGGTGTCAGCTTGGGAAGGGGACAGTCCGTGGGACAGTGAGGGCGCTCGGGGAAGGAGACAGCCCCTGAGACAGGCTTCCCCAGGCTTCCGTGGGCGAGGCTCTCTCCAGAACCATCTTCCCAAGGTCCTGCCACGCCCCAGGGATCCGCGGGCTTGTCCAGCAGGGTGGTGGCCTCTGTCCCCACGAAGTGCCCCCTGAAGGCCTTTTGGGGCCCAGAGCTTCCGGCAGCATAAGCTTTCCTCACACGGCGCCCCCTCCGAAGCCAGCCCAGCACCTTCGCAAACTCAGCCCTGCGACAACTTGAAACAGCTGACCCCCGGGGCCACAAGGGCATGACCACATCCCAGGAACAGTCATGACCTGGTGTCCAGTGGCTGTGACCAGGTCCAAGCACCTCCGGTCCCACCGCTCTCCGGCCACGTCCCACCAGCACCTGCCCGCGGCGACCCGGGCCCCCAGCTGCTCCGAGCGCCTGGCAGAGGCCTGGCTGCCAGGGAGACCGGCCAGCGCTTGCTCCTTCCTGCGGACTCCGCTGCCTGAGCCCAGATCAAAGTCACAGAGACGCGCACAGGCAGGGGCTCGGCCCCCATGGCTGTGGGTGAGCCTGTGTGGGCGACAGGAAGGCTGGGCACGCGCGCTTCACCCCAAACAAGGCGACGTGTGTATGGGGAGCGATCAGGGCCGAGACGCCCTGCACGGCCTCCCTTCGCCAGGAAAGAGGCCATCTGGATGATGACCGGAGCACGACATCCCCACGAGGACTGAAGACAGCGGATACGGAATTGTCAGTGGGACTTGAGGGACACAATGCTTTCAAATGAGAATGCACCTCCCCTGTTTCAGGGCCTTAAATGGGCAAATACTTAGTATCCACAACCCCTTTGATGGGGGCTGGTGCCATCCACCAAATTCATAGCTGGGGAAACAGAGACAGGGAGGGTTGAGTAAAACCCCAAGGGGTTGACTAATGCCTTCTGTGTGGGTGTGTACACTCCTGTGTGCATGTACACTCATAATCTGTGTATGTCTGTGCACATGTCCACATGTTTCTATATACACACCCATATGTCTAAGTTCATGCCTACCTGTGTGTATGGTCCTCTGAGTACACCCATGTATATGTGCATCTGTGTACATACCCCTCTGTACACACTTATGTGTGTGTCTGTGTACATACCCCTCTGTGCACACTTATGTGTGTGTCTGTGTACATACCCCTCTGTGCACATACCCTTCTATGCACACTTATGTGTGTGTCTGTGTACATACCCCTCTGTACACACTTATGTGTGTGTCTGTGCACATACCCCTCTGTACACACTTATGTGTGTGTCTGTGTACATACCCCTCTATGCACACTTTATGTGTGTGTCTGTGTACATACCCCTCTGTACACACTTATGTGTGTGTCTGTGTACATACCCCTCTGTGCACACTTATGTGTGCATCTGTGTACATACCCCTCTGTGCACATACCCCTCTATGCACACTTATGTGTGCGTCTGTGTACATACCCCTCTGTACACACTTATGTGTGTGTCTGTGCACATACCCCTCTGTACACACTTATGTGTGTGTCTGTGTACATACCCCTCTATGCACACTTTATGTGTGTGTCTGTGTACATACCCCTCTGTGCACACTTACTGTGCACATCTGTGTGCATATCCATCTGTACACACTTATGTGTGCATCTGTGTACATACCCCTCTGTGCACATACCCCTCTATGCACACTTATGTGTGCGTCTGTGTACATACCCCTCTGTACACACTTATGTGTGCATCTGTGTACATACCCCTCTGTACACACTTATGTGTGTGTCTGTGTACATACCCCTCTATGCACACTTTATGTGTGTGTCTGTGTACATACCCCTCTGTGCACACTTACTGTGCACATCTGTGTGCATACCCATCTGTGCTGCTTATTGTGCATGTGTGTTTGTGCTTTGCAGAAACCTGTGATGATCCACCGGCCCTAAGCGGGGAGAGGTCCATCAGAACAGGACAGAGCAACAGAGTGGCCTTACCTTACTTCCCCTCCCCCATGGCCATCGTGTCCCCTCATCTGCCCTGACTCTCCACTCTGCATGGCCCAGTGGAGAGCCAGGAATAAACACTGTCCTGTGAAATGGCCGTCGTCCCCAGACCTGCAGCTGCTCACCCGCACTCATGGCCAGCTTCCCAGGCCACCTGCCCACCTGCTCTGCCCGTGAGACACTGGCGCCACGTCGTCCCTTCAGGACAGTGCTGACACTTTCTGAAGGACACACAGAAGACCGATGCAGGGTGACCTTCCACCCCATTCCCTGCTGCCTTCCTGGGGCTGCTCATAATGGAGTGGGAAGGTAGGACGGTTCCGCACCAGCCCTCTGTGTACCCTTGGCCACGCACGGGAGCGTGGGCAGGTGCGTGTGTTCTGTGTGGTGGTGACTGCAGAAGGAAACTGGACATCAAGACACGTAACTGAACTCACGATCAGCTGGATAAGAGGAACAGAGCCCCACCTCCCGCCCAACACATACCTACTCTGCAGGTTCATCTGTGGGTCACAGGCTAGGAGACGTTGCCCTGTGGTCAGGGGTGCACGTGGTGTGGTTGGCATTTGATCAGTGCCCAGAGGCAGACGCAGAAGACCTGCAGGGAGAGGTGGTGGAGCGTGGACAGGTGGCAGCCTGGGTCCCGGAGGGCCGAGACCGATGGGCGGTGCCTGCGGGCCACTTGCCATCAGTTCCATAGATGAGCCCTAAATCCTCCGTCTCGGACAGGCCAAGACTTAGGGTCAGGATTTAGGATGACTTCTGGGTGTCGGTGGCTCATCCGGTTTTAAGAAGACCCCGCAGGGACCCTCCAGAGCTGCCTTTGAGCATAGAAACAGAAACCACGTCTCCCTCCTCGAGCCCGGCTGGGGCTTCGAAGGCTCACTGGCTCACTAAGCCTCAGATGAAATGCAAGCCCGTTCCGCAGAGGGGCCGCGGAGCCCTTCGTGCGAGGCAGTGTCCCTGGGAGCGGCTGCTCTGATCAGATACTTTGGGAAGTGACTTGGGTCGGCTTTAACTTGGCTCTCACGAAGGGGCTTTGGTCCAGGTCAGGTGTACCCGGGAGAGGAAGACAGAGGGATGCCCAAGGGCCTTTGGCGACTCGACTTCTGACCTGAGGACAAGCCGCGCCCAGGGCTGCACGGACCACTGGCTAGGCACCCCCACTGAGCCCGCGGGTCACGACCACCACGGGGGTCTCGGCGTCGAGGGCACCCCCAGAGCAGGGCAGCCTCCCAGGGGTCCCGTGAGTCAGCGCAGACCGGGCGGGCTGGCGGGAAGGTGGACCTGGGGCCGCTGCTCAGAGTGGGGGCTGGTGAGAGGGTCGCCCCAGTGCAAAGCTACAGATGACGAAAAGCTTCCTGGAAATGAAAGGGGGTTCAGTTCTTTTTATGGACACCCTTCCTCATCCACAAGGTAAATAAAACTCAGTGTGAGCTCCCAAGTCAAAGAGACAGTCTGGCTGCCCGGACATGTCCCTACATGTTCCTGTAACGGGGGCAGTGAGCGCTGGGCCCCGAACCTGCCCGTGGCCCCTGCTCTCTGCTCACGCCGCGTTCAGCCCACGGCCAAGGTCTTCTGAGGAGCTGGAAACACCCAGAACAGCCGTGTGTGTGTGTGTGGCCACCGCCCCCCGGCTCCACCCGTCACCGGGGAACACTCACGTCTCCATCCACGGAGCCCCTCCCCGGTCCACCCGTCACCGGGGAACACTCACGTCTCCATCCACGGAGCCCCCTCCCCAGTCCACCCGTCACCGGGGAACACTCACGTCTCCATCCACGGAGCCCCCTCCCCAGTCCACCCATCACTGGGGAACACTCACGTCTCCATCCACGGAGCCCCCTCCCCGGTCCACCCGTCACCGGAGAACACTCACGTCTCCATCCACGGAGCCCCTCCCCGGTCCACCCATCACCGGAGAACACTCACGTCTCCATCCACGGAGCCCCCTCCCCAGTCCACCCATCACTGGGGAACACTCACGTCTCCATCCACGGAGCCCCCTCCCCGGTCCACCCGTCACCGGGGAACGCTCACGTCTCCATCCACGGAGCCCCCTCCCCAGTCCCACCCGTCACCGGGGAACGCTCACGTCTCCATCCACGGAGCCCCCTCCCCAGGCCCCCCGTCCCGGGAACACTCACGTCTCCATCCACGGAGCCCCCTCCCCAGTCCACCCGTCACCGGAGAACACTCACGTCTCCATCCACGGAGCCCCCTCCCCAGTCCACCCGTCACCGGGGAACACTCACTCTCCATCCACGGACCCCTCCCCATCCACCCATCACCGGGGAACACTCACGTCTCCATCCACGGAGCCCCCTCCCCAGTCCACCCGTCACCGGAGAACACTCACGTCTCCATCCACGGAGCCCCTCCCCGGTCCACCCATCACCGGAGAACACTCACGTCTCCATCCACGGAGCCCCTCCCCAGTCCACCCGTCACCAGGGAACACTCACGTCTCCATCCACGGAGCCCCTCCCCGACCACCAGTGCCCCCACCCCGCAGCCCCAGGCCTGTTCTCTGGTCCCCAAACTGCCCCGGACTCTGGTCTTTCTTCAGTCCCCTCCGTGACTCTCAGGCAGGAACAGGTCCCCACCCACGGGACAAGCCGGGGTAACTGTACTTGTCGAGATGACTCGGTTTGTAATGCCTTGCTGGACTGTGTCTTTCGTATTTTATTTCAGGGGGTGGGGGAGGTGGCAGAGGGGAAAGAGGGAATAAAAGGTTGTGGAAGAAACAAATTTTTATTCAGGATTTTTTTCTCATCTGCTGCCTTTAATGTCCCTGTCCCTCACTGTCTGCAGCCACCCCTTGGAGGGGCCACCGAGGGGTCTCTCCCCCCAGGACAGGAACCCCCAAAGTGGCAGGACACCAGTTCCACTCTGACAAAGCTATTTCACTGAAAGGGGTGCTCACTGTCCCCCTACACACATAGGTGCACGTGCATGCACACACATACACACAGTACACATGCACACACAGGCACGTGTGTAGTTGCACACACACACAGGCACACATGTAGGTGCACACTTGTACACACAGGCACACTGCTGTCACGTGTGCACACAGGCACACGTATACACACACATACATGTGCACACACATGCTCCCATGGTGATGCCCAGGTAGCTGCCTCCAGCTCCCACAGTCTCACATTTCCATCACCCCAGGGGACCCTGACTGCACACACATCTGTGGGGACCACCCAGAAGGCCGCCTCCAAGACAAGATCACCCCTCCGGAGGATGGAAACCCGTGAGCACTTGGCCACCACTAGCACTGAGCCCCCCGAGGAGCTCGGAGGGGACCCGCCCCCGTGACCTCACCTGCAGCCATTGGCAGAGCCCCACGCCCGCCTCTGCCACCACGCTCCTGTCACTGGTCCCTCACCAGTGCCCGGGGCTCCAGACCCGCAGGGAGCCCACGACCACAGCAGCTCACCCCCAGGAGTGGGCAGCAATGCCCCCGGGGGGAGGGGCTGCACTGGACAACTTCCTGGAAGTCTGACCAAGCAACACGTGTCCTGTCACAACCCTGCACAGCTGAGGGCCACCGAGGGGTCTCTCCCCCCAGGCTGGGCTCCCTGACACTGCGCTCAACCGTGCCCGTGACCTCGGACACCATCGAATTATCCAGACACCCGCAGTTAGGTCCTTGGGTCCAAGTTATCGGGAGACTACGGTCCGTTGTTTCTAATGCATCAATGTACACCTCGAGGACATGACTGTTCGATGGAAAACACGAGATTCAAAACATAAACCCGATGAACCGACCTGGAGAAGGGGGGGCCCCGGGAGGAATGGGGGTGACCGGGTCTCTGACCTGGTGCTCTCCCTTCGGTTCTGCGCGTTAAACTCCGCCCACGCGTCTAAGCTGCTCTCACAGTGAAATCAACACACGTTTCCTTTTTTGTTGTTTTTTTGTTTCTTTGTTAATCCTCACCTGAGGATATTTTTCCATTGATTTTCAGATAGAGTGGGAGGGGGGGAGAGAGAGAGAGAGAGACACGTTGATTGGTTGCCTCCCAAATGACCCCGACCAGGGCCAGGGATAGAACCTGCAACCCAGGTACGTGCCCTTGACTGGGAATCGAACCGATTACTCTTCGGACTAAGGGGCGACACTCTAATTGCTGAGCCGAACCAGCGACCTCGTGGTGCAGGGTGGAGGCTCAGCCACCGAGCACGCTGGCCGGGCGGTGACTTCCGCGGAGACTAGAGGCGGGTGGGGAGCAGCCAGTCAGTCACCTTCTGTGCGGGAGGCAGTGGCTCGCATGCAGCACCTGACTCTGCAGTGTCCCCCAGGCCAGCGTAAAGGAGGCTAATGTGTTTTAAAACCACTCGGCCCAAATGAAATTATATAACCCAGGAGGGGACAAATCACGTCTCTGATGAGCGTTTTAAAAAAGCGGAAGAGAGAAGATAGACAAAGACTCTGATGTCGCCCTGTAAGGGAGGCGGGGACGGGGGGGCCAGGGCAGTGTCTGGGGGTCGGTGGCTTCCTCCGAGGCCTATAAAAGGGGTGAGCTGGCTCCCAGCTGAGTCACCCCTCGGGACACTGCAGCGCGGGCCACCGTGATGGGGAACAGCGGTGAGTAGCATGGGCGGCTTGTCCCTCTGCCCGTCTCTGCAAATCTCCCTCTCTGGGCTGGGCTCTCCAAAGGCCATGCTGGCAGGGACAGGCCCCCACCGTTTATGTGTCCGGGGGCCACCCCTGCCAGCCCAGGGCCTGTGGTGCTCAAGTGCTGTCCATGGTGGAAGAGGAGGGTGAAGGCCGCCCCACTGAGAAGGCAGGTGGGGTCCCCCTGGACGGACAGCAGGGACCTCGCCTCCGGGGAGTGGCCCCGGGGATCCCCACCTGCCTTCTCAGGGATCAGGAGCCCGGCACCTCCCCCCAGCAGGAGCCCGGCCCTGGAGCAGACGGCCCTGCCGTTCTCATGCCTCTCTCTACACTCTGCTCTCCGGGTGGCACCTCCATTTGCTGAGTCAGGGTCCCCCACCCCATGTGTGACACCTCTCTAAAAAGGAAAGGGTGGGCATTTTAAATCAGAGGGACAGCACTTGCCATGTGGCTCAGGGGCAGGCTGGAAAGTCAAGGTCAGCGAGGGTCCTCCCGGAGACAGACGGCGTGGGCGCCTGCAGGACGAACCAGGCCCAGAGGACTGCTGGGTGGACGCACCCTGGCAGGTCCCTGCCTCCACCCGCAGTGCTCTGGCCCTTCGGCTGCCGAGGGGCCCTCTCCTCCCGTCTGCAGGGGGTTGTCCTGCTGCTGACAGCAGGCCCCGCCCTCTGCAAGCTCCTCCTGGAGCCTGTGGACTGGACCTGGGGCCCTGGGCGGGGTGCGCTCGGTGAGGACCCGGATGTGACCCTGCTACAACGCCTGGCTGTCCGCTCACACCCTCCAGTGTGCAGGGGGCAGGACTGGACGGGCCTCAGGAGGTCCTGGGCCTGGTGAGGGAAAGAGCCCTGCCTGGGGTCCCAGCCCCCGAGCCTGGTCCATGCCGAGTCCCCAGCCCCCCAACATTGACTCAGGCTGGGCAAATGCGCTCTCCACCCCTGCAGCTCCCTGGGCTCCTCTGGGCAGCTGTCCACACACCTGCTGGCCTCTGCCCTCCCTGCCCGGGCCGGGATGCAGGGCACAGAGCCCTGCAGAGGCTCCCCCCCCTCCGGGCCCCTGTCGCAGACGGACTGTCGGACCGAGCTGTCCAGCCAGCCCTCCTGTCTGCACCCACAGCTCCCCCTCTCCGGGCCCCTGTCGCAGACGGACTGTCGGACCGAGCTGTCCAGCCAGCCCTCCTGTCTGCACCCACAGCTCCCCCTCTCCGGGCCCCTGTCGCAGACGGACTGTCGGACCGAGCTGTCCAGCCAGCCCTCCTGTCTGCACCCACAGCTCCCCCCCTCCGGGCCCTGATGACTGAGGGCCAGTGCCCACGACAGAGCCGGCAGAGCCCACACACACGGTGCTCATGCAGCGTTCACTGTGCAGGGACAGAGTGGGCCCCAGAGAGGGCACAGGACTTTGCCAGAGCCGTCTGCTACTCTGTGCCCAAGCCCACCCCAGCACAGAGCTGTGGAACACACACACACACACACACACACACACACATACATGCCCCTCCCCCCCACACACTCCCACATGCACGCCCCTCTCACACAGGCACACACACACACTCCCACATACACGCCCCTCCCCACACACACGCGTGCACACACCCACGCACACATGCACACGCCCACGCTCCTGTGCGTGTGCTCTCTCCACACACACGGCTGTCACGGCACCTAAGGCCCCAGCCTCGTGCACATGGCCCTCACGCGTGTCTAACATTGCTCTGCCCTCCGCCCTCTGCCCAGGCTGTGCCCTCCCGAGCGGGAGCCCACCTGGAGCGGGGCCTCGACGAGGAGCCAGGGGGATGAGGGTGCTGCAGGTCTGGCTCCTGTGTCTGCTGCTGCTGGGCCTGGCCCTGCGGGGGGCTGCCCGCCGCGCCCCCCAGCACTCCACGAACACCCGCAGTGAGTGCCAGGCTCCCTCCCCGCCCCTCCCCCACCCCCGGGCCACCTCCTAACCTGGTCCAGTCCTTGCTGAGAGCCCCAGCCCTGGGGGTTGCCCTGCTGGTCACCGGTCCCCAACCCACAGTGGTCCTGCCACCTGCTTCCCAGTGTCCCTGTCTAGCACACATTTGAGGGGTTCGCTTCCCACCACCAGGGTGGCCTGGGGCCCAAGCAGGCTTTACCTACCCCTGGCACAAGAATGGGGGGCAGGAAGGGGAGTGGTCCTTGGTCCTGATGTGAGCTTGCACTCGCCACCCAGAAATGGCCTCGCCAGACCCTCGTGTGCCCCTCCTTTGTGCGTGGGTCCCCGCATGGCCTGGGGGACAGGGCAGAGCCCAGTGGGGAGAGCTGAGCATGTGTGCTGGGCCCTGCCACCCACCAGGTGGGAGCACTGGGCCCCACACGGAGGACACGGGGCACACCCGGGGGCACCCTCGTGACCTTCTCACCTTTTCTTCCCAGCCCCCGACATCGATCCCGCCTGGTTCCTGGGTCGCAGAATCAGGCCTGTGGGCCGCTTCGGCCGGAGGAGGGCGGCCCTGAGCACCGCCCCAGAGCTGAGCCTGTGGCCCCGGCCGGCGGCCTCCCCCTGGAGGGAGGCACTGAGCCCTCCCAGGGCGGGTGACAGCCCAGAGCAGGAGTGACTCCAGCAGCCCCCCAAGCCCGCCCCCGCCACACGGGCTGCTTTCCCCGGATCCTAATAAAAGCGTCCGGACTCCGTCACTGGCGTCTTTCTCCACACGGTCCAGCCTGCCCGCCGGCTGCAGCTCTTCTCTCCGCAGTTCCTCGTCTTTCTGTCGGTTGTGACACTGACTTTTATGGGAGCCCAGGAGGTCACCCTGTAGAGTGATCCACGCGTGGGTTGTGCCCCGAGGTGTTGTGACCCTGTTCTGTCCCGTATCCCTGCCACGGGGAGGGAGACGGGCCGCTCGCTGTGGGCACGGGCGCCGTGTTCTCCGTGGTATCGTGTCTGTGCCCCGGCCACTGACCAGTGCCAAGTCTGACCATGTGCTGGAGGAGGCTCTCCCAGCGGTAGGGCTCCCGTGCCAGGTGCAGAGGCCCCGGTCCCCGGAGAGCTCACAGCCGGGGACATGAGCACGAGCACCCTCGTGGGGGCAGCGGCTACGCTACGGCCACACAGCGCTGACCCGAACCCTCCCCCACGCGTGAGCCGGAGTCTTCAAGAGGAGCTAGCTCCCTCTTTTTTTCTTTTCTTCTTTCTCTACTTTTTTTCAACAACTTACAGATAATGTTTGACTCTCAAATTGTCCTAAGTGTAGGTAGTAAATGAATTTTATAAGAAGCATATGGGTCTGGGCAAAGGGGGCTCTTCCAGCGGAGGCAGGATACACTGAACAGAAACAGGGCCGCAGGGTGGCTTTGAGGGGCCGCTGACCAACCTGTGCATGTCGCCTGCCTCCACCACACATGCACGCACACGTATGCACATGCACACACATGCACGCACACGTATGCACATGCACACACACTCGCGCGTGCACACACATGCATGCACGCACATGCACACATGCACACACTCATGCACACCCAGCTCGGAGAGGACCCCAGTCCACACCTCGACTGAGAAGGGCCGGGGCCGCTTCCCGGGTTGCGGGCAGGACCCAGCGCGCTCCTGGAACCGGTTGTACCGGAGCACCTGAGCCAGAACACCTGCGGGCCCCACTGCCACACTCCTGGTGCCCCACGGCCACTGTCCCCAAGTTCCCGGAGGGCTGAGATAAGGCGGGTGAGCCCTGCACAGACAACCGCGCCAATCTGTCGGCCTCAGTGAGGTTGTTTCTAGAAAGCCAGCCCTTTCTTCAGGGTTCCGGGGCCGGGGGCCGGCTCCCACCCTCCTGTCGGACACACATTTGTGGAGCAGACCCTTACGGGGCACTGGACACCCCCGGAAGGAAGGACAGACAGGACCTCTGCCCGCAGAAGTCCTCCCCGTCCCTGAAGAGCAGGTTCACTGGGAGGGCTCAAAGCCGGCCGCAGACGCACCGGGGGAAAGCCTGGGGTGGGGTCCCAATGCAGGGTGGAACCCCACCTGCCGCGGGGGGAGGGGCAATCACATCCCAGGGGCTGGAGAACCGGGGCTCCAGGGTCACTGCGCACCCCGTCCACTGGTGGAGACCTGGAAATGCATCAGGATATTTAACAATAAATCCTACCACAGCGACACTCGCTTGGCAAGACAGGAGTGAGCCGGGCACAGAGGTACGGGCACAGAGGTACGGGCACAGAGGTACGGGCACCCTGCCGTACGTGGTGTTTCTCTTCCGTCAGTCAGCTCTCAGAAACTCCTCTGAAAGCCTTGCATTTAGGGATCTGGGGTCTGGGAGCGGCAGGGTTGGTCTTAAATGAGCAATGGTAGGGCGCCATCTAGTGGCCAGCGGCGACGTTGGCCTGCCACAGCCTCCAAGGGGGGTCCCATCAGGCTGGTGCCGCCCTGCTGTGGCCAGTGGCGCGCAAAGGGAATAATCGGGTGAAAAACTGTCCAACTTGACTACAGTCAGAAACCGCAACGCATATGGCTATACGTTGTCAGGTTTCACCCACGAAATTGTCTCCGGAGAAAACAGCGGAAGCCAAGGTGGAGGCCCTCTGGGAAGCGTGGTTTCTTTACCTACCCCTTAGCTTTTCTCAAAGGCCGCGACGGAAGGAGCCTGAGAGCCTGCTCCACTTTGCCCAGAAAGGTCACATGCAAGTGTCTTGTGGAACCAGCACCACGAAAGGGTGAGTCGTGGGACACCGGGCTGCACCACCTCCCCAGAACAGACGCCGGGTCCCCCAGAATCCCCACTCCCTGCCCTGAGGGTAACGCCTGCCCAGGGGAGATGCCGGGAGACCCCCAGCACCCCGCCTGATGGATGAGAGAGGGAGGGAGGCCCCTTGAAGACCTTTGGGGGGACACAGCCACGCTGTGGCGACCACACCGAGATGGAGCCCAGGCGGCCTCAGGCCTCTGTTCTGACCAGCTCCCCGCCAGGACCCCTCATTGGCCTGGGGGCCTAGCCGATGTTCCCCTGCAGGTGGATGAGAGCAGAGAGCAGACAGGAGGAGCCCCTAGAAATGCTGAAGCCCTTTGGATGCCAAAACGTTCAAAGTCAGCGGGATTGGAGGATTTCCATGTTCCTTCGTCCATCCTCACTGTCAGGATGGCGAAGCCACCCTCTTCAGATGGTAACATGTCAAACCCGCTTATCAGAGTCCCAGGGGCACGGATGGAAGCCAACAGCCCCCCAAATCAGCCCCCCTTGGCACCTCCCCCTAACACGGGCTCACCTCCCACAGCGACCGCCGGGCGTCTCTGATGGCGGACAGGCTGTGAGGGGGGAGTGCAGTGTCGCCACCTGAGATGCCCTGGGCCCGCACCCCTGCCGGGCCTGCCGCCCTGGTGACTCCCCATGGGCCCCCCTGGAACCCGTGCAATAAACTCCACCTTGCCAGTTCACCAAAGACCAGGCTACAGAAAGCGGTTTAATTTCCAGAGAACAGGTCGGCGGTAGGGTGTCCACCTCGGGCGGAAGGCTGCGTCCTCCCGTGAGCTCACCGGGCCCCAGCATGGCATCATCAAATGCACAGCGGGGCCCCTGCAGCCCCTGGCAGCCACCATCCCTCCCAGGGAACCTCACTGGGCTCCGCAAAGATGGGGTGAGGATGGGCCAGGCCCAGGACGTTCACTCTACCTCCTGGGCACGGTCTCTCCCCCAGCCTGCTCGGGCCTCTCCCCACTCCCGGGAGCAGTGGGCCTCGCCCAGTACTGGGTACAAAGGGCAGGGCCCAGTCCTGTGTTTCTGGTCCCTGTTCCCTCCGACCCGCTCACTCCTCCGAGGGCAGCAGAGGGCAGGAGCCAGGCCGGGCAGGCGGCCCTGGCCGGGCATTTGGGACTTGGTCTGTGTCTGGGTGTAGCAGGCAAGGCCATGTGACCCGAACCCTCTCGCGAATGACTCCCACGGGCTCGGGGAGGGGTTCTCCCGAGCCGCCGGCTCCTGGGCACCTCCAGGAAAAGCCAGCGTCACCAGTGAATTAGAGTCAAGTGCGCCGTCCACACAGAGCAGCAGGGCTCCTCCCGACGACCTGAGCACTGTGGCCGCTTCTAGTGGGCGCAGCACTTGGCCGGGCCCCTGGGCCCCTGGTTCAGGGTCAGCCGGGCATCCCCCCGCTGCGCCTGGCGCTCCTTCCTCTCCACCCTCTGCAGCAGCTCTCGAGCTGTGAGCACAGGAGGGGAGTGGGGTGAGGAGGTCCCCAGCCCAGCACACCCCCACAAGCCACAGTCGCGGAGCCCCCGGGGTCCCCACCCCTCCTGACATTTCCCCGGAGCCATGAACCTCGGGCCCCGACTCTCCCACTCACCTCCCAGTCCCTAGTGACATCCTGGTGGCCCAGGGAGCCAGAGAAGAAGAGCCGGGGCCCGTCACTCACCGAGGGCGCTGAAGACCTCGGTCACGCGATGGTCCAGCATGGCGGAGGTTTCCATGAACAGCAGGCTATGGCTCTGTGCAAACTGCTCCCCCTCCTGAGAACGGCCACGGAAACCCACGTCACTTGTAAAAAGAGCCCCCTAAGAATGCTTAGGTGACACCTTCTTTCTTCACCTTCCAGTAGCCACCGGCCGGCCCTGGTGGCTGGTCACCGTTTCTGTTTGGGGTTAGTGTGTGTTTCCGGTTTGTTTGAGATCTAACCGGCCGGGCACCTCCGGACTGTGAGACCCGCACAGCAGGTGCCGCCCTGGGGGGACTGACTCCTCTGGGGGACCCTGGACCGGGCGGGAGGGGGCGCTGCAGAGCAGAGTCTGGGAAGGCCACCTTCCTTGGCACAGGCCCTGCCCCGAGGGCTCCCTGGCACCTGTGGGCTCTGGGCGAGGAAGGGAAGCAGGGCCCCTCCTCTGCGGTCCCTCCGCGTCTCCCACACGGCTCAGGCCTGTGTGGCGTGATGTAGGTCACAGAGCAAGCTGGACAGCGCCAGGGCAGCAGTGTGTGCCCAGGAGGGGACAGGCGCCCACCGGAAAGCTGGGCCTGCCCAGGACTCGGGTCTCAAGGTCTAGGGGCTCCCCACGCGGGCCCCTCCCCGAGCCTGCCTGACTGAGGACGAGGGGCAGTGTTCAGGCTCCAGGTCGCCCTGCCTGGAGGTCCGTGCCCACTGCAGGGCGTCACAGTGGGGTTCACCCCTCACCTGGCCCACAGAGCTCTACTCTTCCCCACGGAATTTCTCAGCCCGTCCCCCACAGAGACCCCAAACTTCCTCTCCTCTGACCCCAAACCCGGCCAGGCTTCCCATTTCCTGTGTGATGCGGGCAGGACACTTCGCCAGCCGTCCTGAGGGTGCTCATGCTGGCCTGGGGTGCTCAGCACTCCCCACACCGGGTAGTGACCATCGCCAGGTCTGGCCTTTCCGGGAAAGACCAGAAATCTCTGCTCAGAAGGGAAACTAAAGTGAGAAGTGTGTGTGCAGGTGCTTGTGAATGTGTGTGTGTGTGGTGTGGGTGTGCATGCGAGTGAGTGCTTGGGTGTGTCATGTGCACACAGGTGTGTGAATGTGTGTGTGTGGAGTGGGTGTGCATGTGAGTGGGTGCTTGGGTGTGTGCATGTACACGTGTGTGTGAATGTATGTGTGGTGTGGTGTGCATGTGAGTGAGTGCTTGGGTGTGTCATGTGCACACAGGTGTGTGAATGTGTGTGCGTGTGGAGTGGGTGTGCATGTGAGTGGGTGCTTGGGTGTGTCATGTGCACACAGGTGTGTGAATGTGTGTGTGTGGAGTGGGTGTGCATGTGAGTGCTTGGTGTGTGCATGTACACGTGTATGTGAATGTGTGTGTGTGGTGTGGGTGTGCATGTGAGTGCTTGGGTGTGTGCATGTACACGTGTGTGTGAATGTGTGTGTGGTGCGGGTGTGCATGTGAGTGAGTGCTTGGGTGTGTGCATGTACACGTGTATGTGAATGTGTGTGTGTGGAGTGGGTGTGCATGTGAGTGCTTGGGTGTGTCATGTGCACACAGGTGTGTGAATGTGTGTGTGTGCTTCAGGGTCACTCCTTTCTCCTGGTGACATACGACCCATCCCCAGTCCTACCTCGAACGTCACCTCCCGCTCCTCACTGAGGTCCGTCTTGTTGCCGACCAGCATCACCACGACTTCTCCAGGGGGGAACTCCCTCTCCAGGTCCGCCAGCCACTGCTGAGCCTTGAGGAAGGAATCCTAAAAGGAAGGAGGAAGGAGGGACCTCAGGGCAGCCTCCCCAGCTAGCTGTCCCGGGAAGAAAAGGCAGGCGCCAATGCCACATTGTGACCCTGCTGACCGTGTGACAGAGAGCCCCCAGCCCCAAGGACGGCTCCGTCCCTGAGGAGGGCCTCTGCTCTTCCGCTGCCCGTGGTGGGCTGGGCCACAGGGAGCTCTTTCCCCCAACAGTGCCCAGGAGGCTGGGCAGTGCCCTGCAGACCAGGTCGCGGGGCTCCCGCCCTGTGCCCCACTATGCCCCTTCCCTCCCTCCAGCACAGATGACCGAGTCTACCTGCCTCGGAGGACTCCCTTCTCTCCTGCTCACCTGCCCCACCACCTCCCTGCCCCACCCCACCCTGGCAGGGCTGAAGCCCGCTTTTCCACCCACACCTCTGCTCCAGCAGGAAACCCCTGCCGGGGCTGGTGCGTGGCCTTCCCGCCCACTCCCGGAAGCCCGCCCCTGCTCTCCTGCTTCGGGGCGTGTCCACTCACTTCATTTAGCATCTGCCCGGGTGATGCTGAGTGTGGGGTGTGCAGCCAGGGGCGTGTCCGCCCTGGTTCTGTAACCCCTCATCAACTCAGTGGGCACTCAAGGTGCCCTGAGTGACAATGACGAGTGTGCGGGGTGTTCTGGGAGGACCACCAAGGGGCACAAACCCAGACGAGCAGGAGACGGAGGCATTGTCAGGGAGGATTTCCTGAAGGAGGTGACCAACTTCCTACTGGTTGTGATCTAACCACAAAGCACCCCCACAATGCCTTCGGAAGACAGTGTCCTGTGCCCAGGAGAGCACGGGCAGATGCCACGCGACGGGGCGGGGCCACGCCCCGAGTGAGCCTTACCTTGCTGGTGATGTCGTACACCAGCAGCGCGGCGTTGGCACCCCTGAAGTAGAGGTGGCAGATGCTGTGGTACTTCTCCTGGCCCGCCGTGTCCCAGATCTCAAGCTTCAGAGACGCAGCCCCCAAGTCCACCACCTTTGTGAAGAACGCACCTGAAACCCAACACGGAGAACCAGGTCTTCACCCAGGGGACCCTGGCTCAGGACGCCGGCAGAGACACCTGCTCCCTGCCGCCCACAGCTGGGAAGGCCAGCAAACACCCCTCTGGAACCGGCACTGCCCGCCCAAAACCAGTGCCACAGTCACTGGCGCGGACCCTTCATGGGTTACACACGGACCCTAACTCAACCCTCAGCCCTGCTTGCCAAAGTGATGTGACTTTCAGAGTTGATTGGGGGCACCAGACATTCTGCCCCATAGTGTGGTGGGTGTGTCTCACACGGAACCAGGCTGGACATGGGGAGGGGACCCGAGAGGGGCTGGAGGAGCCAGAAGAAAGGGGGCAGCGGGGTCCCTAGTCGAAGCCTCTGCCCCACCCAGACTCCAGGGTTCGGCGCCTGTGGGGAGATTCTGATAAAACAGCCGGGTGCTGGAAATGAAAACTTCCCCTGCAGGCCCGCGGGCTGGTTCCGGGCCTGCCACAGCCAATTACCATGCACTGGGCAGCTTCAAAGAGCAATCTGTGCTCTCTGTTCCGGGCCAGAGGTCAAGATTCAAGGTATCACCGGGTAGGTCCCTCCCTGGAGCTCTGGGGGAGAATCCTTTGCACACCTGTCTCCTGGCTTTGGTGGCTGCCCTGGCCCCCTCCTCATTCCTGGCTTAGACAGATCACCTCTCCTCCTCCGTGTCCACAGGGCCTTCTCCCTGTCTCCGTGTTCTGACAGGGTCACCAGTCAGTGCATTCTGGGTCCACCTGCAACCCAGAGCCATTTCATCTCAGCTCCCTTAACTAATCCCATCTGCGAAGACCCTTTTTCCAAGTCACTATGTTCACAGGCGGGGCTTGGAGGAGCGGGCTGGAGGCGGGGCCTGGAGTGAGAGGCGGGGCCTGGCGGTGGGGCCTGAAGGCGTGGGCTGGAGGCAGGGGTTGGAGGCGAGAGGCGGGGCCTGGAGGAGAGGGCTGGAGGCCGGGCCTGGCGGCGAGGGCCCGCAGGAGGGCTCAGGCACAGCTTTGGGAAACACAGCTCCATCCACTGCCCACAGAGGATATGGAGGTCGCTGGCTGAGGGTTTCAGCACAGAACTGCTAAGATCATGATTCTCTCATGAGAACCTAGTTTGGGGTGGCTCCTAAGAGGAGGCCACCAACCAGGTCCTCTGCCTGCACACCTGCATTTTCCTGCTTGTTCATGAACTCGAGTCAGATGAACTTCCTACCCGTTACGGACTGTGTCCTCACAGAATGCATACGCTGAAGCCTAACCCCAGGGTATGGCATGAGGAGGTGGGGCCTTTGGGAGGTGCCGGTGAGATGAGGTCCTGAGGGTGGGGCCCCACATGGGATTAGTGCCCTTATGGGAAGAGAGACAGAGTCCCCTCTCCCCTCCCCCTCCCTGCACGCAGGCACAGAGAAGAGGCCCCGTGAGCACACGGGGATGGCCGTCGCCTGCACACCAGGACGGGAGGCCTCAGAAAGAAGCCGCCCTGGCGGCACCTTGATCTCAGAACTGTGGTGTCTGCAGGAGGCCTGCGCAGACTCACTCTGGCTCAAAGCCGAAGTTTCTACCTAAACGTGGGGACTCATGGCTGCTGGCTTACGCGGGCTCATGGTCAGGATGGATGTGGACATGACGAAGCAGATGCTCCATGGACTGATGACATCGTGAGGGTGATGACATGAGGGTGATGACATCGTGAGGGTGATGACATGAGGGTGATGACATCGTGAGGGTGCGGGCCGTGCATGGGCCTTGGAAGGGGCTCTCCCCGCTGCACCAGCATTGCCCACTCGCTTCAACCTTCCAAAGCTCCGCTGCCCCTTTTCCGTGAGCCAATGTCCCCTGCTTCCCAGGTGGCCAACGGGCCGCCCTCTGCTCTCCCGAATCTCTGACTGGGGGCGTCAGCCATGTATCCACACCCTTTGTCCCTTTGCCATCATGTCCAGTCACATCTCTGAATCTGCCTCCGGCTGTCTCGGGAGTCACCAGGGCCAGGTCGCGCACGGCGCCAAAGTTCAGGTCACCACGGCCAGGTCGCGCACGGCACCAAAGTTCAGGCTGGCCTCCTTCGTTCACCAGCCGAGCTCCCGGCATCTTCCTTTCTCGTGTGGAAATGATGGCACAAGTCTGTGTGAATCAATGGCAAGTCCCAACACATTTCCAAGGGGCGCTGGGCTTTCGGTCCAAGCGGTGCCAGGGCGTCAGTGACCGTCTGAATAGTCTTGGCAGAGAAAGTTGTCTGGAGAGAAACACAAGGCCCTCAGGTGGGCCCAGGGGGAGATCGAGGTGACTTCCACCCCGCCCCGTGGACTCCTTGGCTCCAACTCGGAAAGGAGCCCACAGTTATTATCGTCCATGCTCAGAAACCCACGACCACATTTACTAGGTCTCCACAGTGAACGCCAAAAAGGGATTTAAAAATCAAACTCCAAGAGATCCTTCTGCCTGAAATGATATTGGCAAACGGCGGGAAAGCACAGCACGGAAATGGGCCAGTCGGGGTCCCGGACGCGCGAGCTGCCACGTGCCCGGCCAGGCCCGCTCCTGCAGGGACCCGGAGGCTGGCCGGTGACTGGGGCGACCAGGCGTCCCAGGGTTCTCACGGCCTCCTCCCGGCAGACCGAGCCCAGGGCTGGGCTCACTTGGCATTTCCACTCTACTCCGCTTCGGGTCTGCCGATCACCATCCCAGCTCCCCTCCGCTTCTCTGGGTGTTCAGGGTCTTGCCCTGGCACAACTGGTAGCTGCCCAGCCATGGCCTGTTCTGGAGAGCCAGGCCCTGTGCCCATCAGCTCCCTGCGCCCATCAGGCCCTGTGCCCACCAGGTGCTGTGCCCATCGTCAGCCCCCTGTGGAGCCCCACACACTCACCCACGACCCTCTGGAGGGGCCCAGGGGCCCCCGATCTTTCTGAGGCTGGCCTGCCCTGAAGGGGAACACCCCTGCCGGCCCTGGTCCCCCCTGCTCCAGGAGAGTGGGTGGGTGTGTAAGAAAGGGTGACGACCCTAAGCCATGACGTGGTAAGCCTAAGACGTCCTGAAGCCCTTCTTCACGGGGAGCCTCCCACAGGAGGGCACCCCTCCCGTTTCCCAGGAGAAGACCTGGAGATGCCAGCCATTTGTTCATCCAGCTTGTATTTACGAGTGTCCCTGCAGCCCGGGCACTGGGCACCCACCACCTCCACGGTTTCCACTGAGCCCCCCAGCAGGAGGGAGTGCCCTCGTGCCCTGTGGGCTGCTCTGTGCGCCAGTCCAGGAACAGGCGCCGGGGTTCTTAACAAAGCCCAGACCGAGCCCGAGAAGCAGCCACGGTCTGCCCTCGGGGGATCGCGCACTACAGGCTACATCCTCACACACTGAAGGAACGACCAGGTTCCCCCTCCTTGTCTGAAAAGGGGGAGCATCATCCACATTTACAGAACTATAATAGTACGATAATTAAAATAATATAGAATATATTATAATATAGTACTAATAGACATATTGGAACAACTAACAAATAATTTTGCTTCCTTGCTAACAATGCGATCACGATAATGTCCACCTCCAAAGGCTGCGGCATGGCAGGGTGTAGGAGGCGTGTGAAGCCGACCCTGAGATATGAGTGGAGACTACATTCCCACGGGGATTTAGCTGCTTAAAGCAAAGGAAAGCTCACTGACCTCTATGTCCCCAACACCTAGCATAATCGCTGGCTCAGAGCAAGGTGCTCAATAAATCAGTGCTGACCCCGTGGACCGGTGTCTAAACTCAACTAGAGGGTCGGGGGTTACCCACTCATCTACTCTGTTCTGTGCCTCCCTCCACACCCTCCCACCCACCATTCCAGAGACACCAGAGTGGAAACAAAGGTTCAGAGCCCAGCCCAGGAGAGAGGCAGAGTCCTGATGGTGGAACAGGTTCTTCCCTCTGGAGAGAGGAGACAGCCCTGGGGTGGGGGAGGGGGCTAGGGGGTAGAGGAGGGGCAGCTATCCAACCCACTGTGGAACCCCCTACTCTACTGCCGGCCGGGGACAGGCCACACCCACCAGACACTGGCTGCAGGGGTGAATGAAAGGATGAGGGGGGGAATGGATCAGTGAGGAATAGGTGAGGGAATGGATGAGGGGGGGAATGGGTCAGTGAGGAACAGGTGAGGGGATGGATGAGGGGGGGAATGGGTCAGTGAGGAACAGGTGAGGGAATGGATGAGGGGGGGAATGGGTCAGTGAGGAACAGGTGAGGGATGGATGAGGGGGGGAATGGGTCAGTGAGGAACAGGTGAGGGAATGGATGAGGGGGGGAATGGGTCAGTGAGTGAACAGGTGAGGGAATGGATGAGGGGGGGAATGGGTCAGTGAGGAACAGGTGAGGGGATGGATGAGGGGGGGAATGGGTCAGTGAGGAACAGGTGAGGGGATGGATGAGGGGGGGAATGGGTCAGTGAGGAACAGGTGAGGGGATGGATGAGGGGGGGGAATGGGTCAGTGAGGAACAGTGAGGGAATGGATGAGGGGGGAATGGGTCAGTGAGGAACAGGTGAGGGGATGGATGAGGGGGGGAATGGGTCAGTGAGGAACAGGTGAGGGAATGGATGAGGGGGGGAATGGGTCAGTGAGGAACAGGTGAGGGAATGGATGAGGGGGGGAATGGGTCAGTGAGGAACAGGTGAGGGAATGGATGAGGGGGGGAATGGGTCAGTGAGGAACAGGTGAGTGGATGGATGAGTGAGGGAATGGATGAGGGGGGGAATGGGTCAGTGAGGAACAGGTGAGTGGATGGATGAGGGGGGGAATGGATCAGTGACTGAACAGGTGAGTGGATGGATGAGTGAACGTGTGAATTCGGAAACAGACAGCTTCTCCGTGGCAGAGTCCAAATTTGAAACTGAAGCTCTGAACCGGAGTGTGGAGGTTTCCCACCATGCTGGCCACCTCCCAGAGAGACTGGCGTAAAGAACAAGCCTGGTTTCCCTGTCTTGGGGGAAGAAGAGTTTTCACCCCCTGGCGGGATGTGAAGGAAGCCGACAGCCCGCAGAGGCACGGCAGACCTGGGCCTCCGGGAGCCCTGGCCTGGTGCCTCTCTGAGGGGCACTGAGACGGTCTGCCCTGTGCCCACTGCCCCATCCAGGCCGGGCTGGCAGAGGAGCCCAGGCAGGCAGGGGCTGCTCATGGTAACCTGCCCAGGGCAGCGGTGCTGGCAGAGGGGGATGGGCAGCGTGAGAGGCAGATCAGTTAGCAGGTGGCCCACAACCCCGAGGGAGAGCCTGGAGGGCTTCTCCGGGGCTCCCACCCACCGCTGCTCCAGAACCATCCCTCACACACCCTGCCCCTGGGGGCCAGAGACCCTGACCCCGAACCTGCACCCCTGCGGAGCTCAGCCAGTGCCCGGCCAACAGGAGCCGCAGCCCAGGACGTCCGAGGCTCCAGGAGCGTCTGCCCCGTGCGACCCGCACCCAGGTCGGCACCCGAGCTTCTCCCCGAGGAGACTAAGGGAGGACGTCACTTACATCCCACAGTCGGCAGGATGCTTTTGAAGTCATTCTTCACGTAGCGGAGAGCCAGGCTGGACTTGCCCACATTGCCGCTCCCCAAGAGGACCAACTTGAACGGCTGGGGGGCCCCATCTGCCTGCGCCATGCCCTGCGGAGACACACAGCGAATGGAGGCTCAGTGTGTCCACCCCGAAGCTCTGCCTCCTGGCAGGGCGCAAACAGCCGGGGACGGACGGGCGGATGGACAGATGGACAGATAGTCGGACTGACGGATGGACAGAGCTCTCAGTCAGAGGCCCAGGTTGGCACCCCTGCTCCACTCTGTACCCCATCTCCTCACCTGGAAAGCGGGGGACCGGAGCAGTGTTTTAAGGAATGTCGGGAGCAGCTGTGGGTGGACAGCGCGTTGGTGGTGCCCGGCAGGACCTCTGTACCCTGAACAGCCGCACACCCTGAGCAATGACCATGGCGAGCCAGTCGTCATGTGGGCTCATTGTCCTCATTCTACTAAGCCTCCCTTTTAAAAAATCTATTACTTCTTCCTGCCCTGGCCGTTTGCTCAGTGGTTAGAGCATCAGCCCATGGACCGAAGAACCACGGTCTGATCCCGGTCAAGGGCACGTAGCTCGGTTGCAGTTGGGTCCCCAGCCCTGGTCGGGGTCGTGTGGCTGTTGGTGTGTCTCTCTCACATCAATGTTTCTCTCTCTCTCTCTCTCTCTCTCTACCCTCCCACTCTGTCGGAAAATAAATGGAAAAATATCCTCAGGTGAGGATTTTTTTTAAATAAAAAATCTATTACTTCTTCCAAAAAGGGAGGGAGACACAGGGAAAGGCAAATGACCCATCAAAACATTAATGTTCGGAAATATTTGCCTGAACAAGTTCTTAGACCTGAGACGGAAGAGGGGTGACGAGAGGGAGCAGGGTCTCAGCTGGGAGTTAGCGGGGGGCTCTAGGAGGGTCAAGACTGCCCAGGCCTGCCCTGGACGGTTTGGCTCAGTGGATGGAGCATCGGCCTGCAGACCAGAGAGTCCCGGGTTCGATTCCCGCTAGGGGCACATACCAAAAAAAAAAAAAGACTGCCCAGGCCTGCCTGGTCTTGTCGGGGTGTCGGGATGCCCCGGACTCCTGCGTTCCACAGACCCACCACCACCCAGTGAGGGCCCTGGAGGGGCCCCTGTGCTCTGGGAAAACCCACCCACCCAGGCTAAAACTCAGAGCAATTCACCCCACAGATTTCCGGCCACCAGCAGAACATGAAGCTCAGAGGCCTGCAAAGCAAACCTGAGCCCCGGAAACCCGGCCGGCCGCAGTCACTGGCCCTCCGGGGAGGAATTCACAGCCCCGGGGGCTCAACATGTCCAGACTCCCAGTGAAGTCCAGGGAGAGATAACAAGATGTGGGGTCAAAGTTCGGCATTGCCAGAGTGTCCCCAAGCTCCCCGCAGTGAACCGGGGTTTGCCTCCGGGAAAGGGCTGTTGATACAAATGTCTCTGCCACAGGCTCCTCTCCGGCCCCGCAGCTGCCATCCTGGCCCCGATCGTGTGACCAGTCCCCATAAATAGCAGTTAATAAAATAGACGCTCCTCTCCCCCAGGGATATCACGGCAGTTTAGCCCCGCCTAATTCACGGCATTGTTTTAATGACTTCTCTCTCCCCCTGGGCGGCCGCCACTCAGGGGCTCAAGGACTGTGTTCACGGAGCGCACAGGTGGCCCGTCGACGTCTCATAAACACACACGGCCTCTCGCGAGAAGCCCTCGCTGGCAGACACCTGTTCCCAGGACGCCGTCTGCGTGCCCGCCACTGCCCGGGCAGCTGGCACGCCGTGGACTGGGGTGGGCAAGGTGGAGAGGAGGAGCCCCCAGCTGCCCGGCTCGGCGAGTCCCCGACTTTAGGCCGCCCTGCGCGGTGCTCACGCGGGTGGAGCTCAGCCAGCCCGACAGGTGGGCAGCTCGCGGCCCGTGTGCTGGGGCTGCTCAGAGCCTCCGTGGGAGCTGTCCTCTCCCAGGTCACAAAACATGTTTGAATCAACCAGAATAGGTGGGCTGTGAATGCACAGACCATTTCTGAAATTCCACCCGCCGATGTCTTACCCCTCTGGCAGTGAGACATCTCTCTGTTGGAAGAGATTATTTTACTATAACACATCACGGTCGATGTGAAGAATGAAACTGCTACTCATGACCCCATGCCCTGAACACAACCAGGAATGGCACCTGCCTGCTTTCTTCCAGCTTTTATTTATGAGTCTTACCAACAAACTAACCAAAACAAACAAACACACACTTTCCTGTCCGACCTTGAAAAAGGCAACGACAGTATCAAAGGCAGCTTTGCTCATTGCTACATGTTACCTACTTTGAACAAGCATGGAACATTCCTACAACTCCAATTTGCCCAAACGGTTCCCCACGACTGGGGCTTTACGAGGTTTTATTTATTTATTTTTTCTCTCTGTAATGAGCCAGACCCAGTAAGGAATTTTATGTATAATGTTTTGTGTGATTACGGGTTATAAGCTTTCAGTGATCAGAGGCTGAAGCCCTCTCTTCAGGGAGAACATTGGAAATGTGAGGCCTGACCCCAGGCCCAGGTGCTAATCAAGTGGGTTCTTTGAAGTCTCTGTGAGCACAGAGACGTGAGAAGGGCTTAATAGCCGTGATTTGGGGCTCTCGTTCCTTACCCCAGCAAAGGAGAAACGAAGGCCGCAGACCTCACGAGTCTTTTGGGAGGAGGACATTGCAGGGAGGGTCTCGGTCAGGGTCCCTTGTGGGTGGCCCTTCCAGCATGTAAAGGGCACCGAGATTGTTGTGTGGTTTGACTCTGCTGTCCCTGAACTGACTGAGCGCCGGCCCCTCCTCAGAGAACACCTGACCTGCATGGCCTGTCACTGCCATTTCAGCGGGGACCTCCTTCCTCCCGACCTCCCTGACCTCCCTGACCGTCCAACACGGCACTGTGGCCCGCAGCCGAGCAGACTCCTTCCCTCACTGAGCCCTTTTGATTATTCATGTGTGGACACACGAACACACACACACACACACACACAGACACACGCACAAAGAAACATACTCACAGAGAGAGAGACACACACACAAAGACACACACACAAACACAAAGAGACACACAGACACACACACACACGCACAAAGAAACACACACACACAGACACACACACAGAGACACAGACACACGCACAAAGAGACACACACAGACACAGACACACATAGACACACACACACACACACACACACACACACTGCCAAGTGCACAGAAGTTGAAACAGTGACTCACGTGTTCCTAAGCCTGGTCACTTCCAGGGAGCCAGACAGCTCGTCATCACCAGGGCCGGCAGGGCCCCATCTGTCTCTCTGTCCTGGGGACAGGTTGGCTTCCCTCACCAGCAGCTGGGCGGCGGAGGCTGGGCTCCCGAAGAGACCAGGTAGAAGCAGCAGTCTCTGCCCAGGCGGTGCCCAGCCCCCGGCTCCCAGGCCCTAAGTCAGGCCACTTCCTTCTGCCAGGTTCCTGGGTAAGGTCCAGTGGTCACGTGGCCACCGGGGGCAGGCAGGGCGCACCTTGCAGAGGGCCGTGGGAGCACCTGGCACCCAGCTGGAAGTGAGCCTCCCACCAGGTGCCTGCTGCCACCCCTGCTGAGCCCCTGAGCCTCGTCAGGACCTCACTTCATCGCCTCCCTGCTCCTCCCTTGGGGCTGCGTGGCTTTGCCCACTTGCGGCCAGCAGCCCAGAACAGGAGGCAGGTGAGCTCAGTCCTTCCACACAACGGAACCAGCTCCAGCCAGGCTGCACCTGCAACCAGAGGAAGCCAAGTGGGCGGGGCCCCGCTCAGATGCTGGGCCAGGTGCCACCTGGGGGAGGGGGTGTGGGTTTTTAACGCCATCTACCAGCTTTGTCAACCCCAACCTCCCTGTGTCCTTCTGCGGAGCCAGGGATCTTGGGACCCATCGCAGAATCCTGCCTACCCCATGCCTGAAACAACGCCCACAGCGAAGGCCACCTCGCCCAGGTGACACAGGGCCAACCACACCTGGGGCCGAGGCTCAGGACGACCTCAAACAACCTAATGACCCCTCCCTACCTCGAGAGGCCCAGGGCACCGTGGAGGCTGACCTCAGAAGCTCAGGGCACCTGGGGTTCATCACTGCCCAGCCTGTCATCTGGGTGGGTCTTTGCCCTGAAATCTGCAGGGTCCTCCCACAGGGACTCAACAGGCCACCCCCTTCAGCAGGCCACCCCCTTCTGTCCTCTCACCTCCCAGGTGAGGCTGCTGGGCCGGAGGTTCTGATCTCAGCACACAGAAAGCCACCCCCTGCGGGGAGAAACCTGAGACCTCACTGCCAATCAGAGGGTTCCTTCCCTTGTGGACCTGGCAGGCAGGGGGCGGGGACAGAACACAGGCCACCTGACCACACCCCACCCGGACACGCCGCCCGGACATGGTACCGTGCACACTAGAAGCCAGAGGTGGGGATTAGGCACCAATGAGACACAAGCAACTGACCGGCCACGAGCGCAGTTAGCATTGTGGGTACACGGCTATGCGGACTTGAGACCCTGTCTCTGGGCATTTTCTCAGCTCTCCTGCCTGGGCATTCGCAGGAGAGTGCCCGCTGGGCCACTGAGCTGGGCCGCCTACGGGGGCAGCACGTGCTCACGCTTGTTCCCCTTCGGAAAGAAGCAAAATTATAGGCGTTTGGAGCCGAGAGGGCCCCGGGGATGGTCTGGTCTGGGCATCCAGCCGGTGTCTGAAGACTCTCGGCCACGCCCGCTCCCACAGGCTACTCACTCTCTGCTCGGACGTGAGAGCCACCGGCTCTCTGCCCCGAGGCAGCCGTGCACCTGGCCCCCGTCCACCCACATCACCTTCACAGCTTTGCACCCAACTCCCCACCAGCGCCCTCCTGGTCACTCGGCCAGAGCCTGCTGCACTGTGCCGCACACACTCCGAGATGGCTGACGCAGGGCTCCGGGCTGGGGCTCCCGCTGCGCCCACACCCGTCGCTCCTTGTGAAGAGCCCTGGGGCTCAGACTGCCGACACATGTCCCGTCCAGCAGCATCCCGGGGGAGCTGAGGATCTGTGGGCAAGAGGGGCTCCCTTCCTCCTCGGGGCTCCCACGCAGAGCT